TGGATCCATGGAGTGCGCATCCAAGACGTGCTAGAGTTGATTGGCAGTTAGTTGTAGAACGTCAGTACCGTCGGTCAGTGTCGTGCAATGTTATCGCATGAGCCTGATTGTCAAGTAACTGGTACCGTGGTGTTATATTAGTGGACATTATAATATCTGAGCGAGTGAGCGTAACTTGTAGTTCCTTGGTCCTTTTCTTTGGCATAAATTAGTATAATCCTTGGCTCTCCATCCGAGTCTACTCTTGAATCTCTGATATATTATGGAATACACAGAGCCAAGATTTATACTGAAGGCGGCACTGGCCTAGTCTTGCACGTGCTCAATACAGCAAAGATAAGAAGGTGTGGACAGATACAATGTAGATGCGATTGTGCAGTGGGTGCATGCCTGCATGGCCCTGGCATGGGTGGTTGCCGCACAACGTGTGACCTCGTAGCATTTTTTTTCACGGTTCGCGTGAGACTCGCTTGGAGACCGAGTTTTCCGGATCCGTAGGAACGCCACCACCCTTCAAGGATCAATGCGCAGATGCAGCTCCTAAATCGGTGGGAGGTGAGTAGATCAGCTCACCAGCAAGTGGTCAAAGACCGAAAATCCCATTCACTGCATCCATGTTCTCCTCGTGCCAGGCCACGAGTTCCCAATTAACTGTGGGTCGCAGCACGGCTGGAAAAATCCTTCCTCTTCTAAGCGGGACTTGAACCTGGTACCCTCTGTTGCTCAATCATGGTCTTAGACCATCCCACTATGCCTGCCTGCAATCCTGGGAAGCAAACGTATAATAATTATTACTATGTTGAACTCGCTGTCTGTATAAGATCTGGTTACGTTGGTGGACAGTTTGTCATAACTCGTAACATTAATTTTTGTCCTTTTCCTTTCTTCATCATAATTATTACTATGTTCTCTTTGTAGAAGCACAGTTCAGCAATTCTCACGTAGCCTAGGTATCATAGTACAGCCCCCAGTCTCAACTGTTAGTATCCTAATCTCAACCCAATCCTGAAGAACAGTCAATGACAAACAGCCGGAACGAACAATATTACCAAAAAATTGCAATTTCCTTTCACGAACAGAAACAATAAGTGGGACTTGTTTGTGAATACTATTTATTCACTCTCTAACAGACACATTCGTCCGGTGATCAGTGAACGGAATCCTGAGAAGGCGTCGATAGCTTCTCATTTCGAAAGCCTCGATCTTTTTCACAATTTCAGCAGTCATGTACTTGTACATTTGTATATATAAATAGGGCCGCTCCTTCCTTCCGGCTTCCATGTACATTGTACATGCATGATGATGATGACGCACTGGCGCCACTGGATGATTTTTCAGCAAGGGACTCAGCCGGGCACGGCAGGCAGGAGCAAACATGCTCCTTGAGCCACGCAGGCACATGGCACCACAACGAACCAGGGCAAACTCAAGGCGGCAGCGCAGCAAGGAGATAACCTGCGCGTATGGCTCCTTGCTTTTCTCAGCCAGGAGAGAGGCGATCCGTGAGAAAAGCGCATTGGCATGCTTGCCATAGCCACCAGAGGCACAACGGGCACGAAGGAGGCATGCTCGACTTCGTGTACTCGCTCTTCGTACTTCCGGCGCTTTTCTTGTTCATGGCGTCAGTAACTAGCAGTAGCAGCGAGGGAGGCGGCACGATTCGAAGACGCAAAAGGGTTGAGCACCCGTACATCGATAAAGATGCGCTCGAATCGGCCACCCCACACACCACTAGCCGCAACATCCAGCCGAGCCTGCTCCTCCGTGACGGCTGCGCGATACGATGGCGGAAGGCCTCTCCGGTGACGGGCTGGAGGTGGGGTTCCACCCTCACGTTATGAGCGACCTGCCTCAGATCTCTGGCGGTGATCATCGACATCCCTCACCTCGTTATGGCGCAGCGTCGGGAAGCCACCAAACGCGTGGCACAGGCTGAGGGCGTGACTGACATTCACTGGCTTGCTGCTCACGCAGCTCAGACAGCCAGAGGCTTGGGAGCCGTGGAGGTGTCCAGCCGTACCTGAGGCGCAGGCCATCCCGGAAGCCCGGCGGTCTCCCTTGCCTTGGCTTTGGCTTGGTGAGGGTGAAACCATACAGCATGGCCATGGCGGCTGGCTGGCTGAGTCACTGAGGCGGCAGGTCAGCCAGCTGGATGCATGGCATGCATGGATCATATCAAGAGTACATAACCCTGTCACGTCCAAAAATCCAACCCTACAACATCACTTCCTCCCAACATCTACCCCTACACCCCCAGGTTATAATTTCAAGTTGGTGCCACGTTGCGTATGGGATGACCTGAATGCTGAACTTGCTGATGTCCACTGGAAATGTCACCTCCGCAGCTCGCACGTGGATGACGCTCTTTCGTCTTTCCACTCAGCACTCTATTCTTAGCAGGGCCATGGAGAAGCACCTCGGGTACTTCTCCCGGCGTCCACTCTCCCCCTCATGCCGACGTTTAGGTCAGCCACCTTGGGTTGATGCCCCCCCCCCCTCCGTGCCGCCATTAAGGCAAAGCACGATTTCTACAGTGTGTGTAAAAAATACCCAACCCAGCTTAACATGCATGTATATCGATCTCAACGGAACTTGGTGAAGAGTCTGACTCGATCGAAATACCGGGGATACATTCGGTCCGTACAAGCTACGCTGCAGGACAAAAACCGCCCATCACTGTTTCAGTTCGTGAGCAAATTAAAAAATCATAAAGTATCTCGTGACATCCCGACACTCACCATTAGTTCTACACAGCAGGCTACTACCTCTTCAGCTAAAGCCACTGCATTGAACTCTCAGTTCGCCTCAGTGGCCGTGCCTGATGACCCTTCTCTACCCATTCCCCCCATTGCCGAGGAGTTGGGTGAGGCTGACCGCCTCACATCTGTCTTTACTACGACTGCTGCCATCCGACGTTACATTCGAAAGCTCCCGTCTGACAAGGCGCCAGGCCCAGACGGCATCACTAATCTGGTATTAAAGTCCCTTGCGCCCTCAATAGCATACCCCTTATGTCTGATTTTCAACCTATCATTCCGCACTGGTCGTTTTCCCTCTGCATGGAAAACAGCTAATGTTATACCGATCTACAAGAAAGGGTCCCGCCACGAAGCATCAAACTACCGTCCGATATCTCTACTGTCCTGTGTTTCCAAACTCTGTGAGCGCGTTTTCTATGACCAATTGTACTGTCATGTCTCGTCACGTTTGAGTTCAGCTCAGTCCGGATTTCGCAGAGGCGATTCTACCACCCTCCAGCTGACGCGCCTGGTGCAATTAGTGTGTCGACATCGGGATACTGGAGACCTAGTCGGGATCTGTTTTTTCCATCTTGCCAAGGCCTTCGATACCGTCTGGCACCGGGGGCTCTTGGCCAAGCTTCGTGGATCGTTTACTGTAGACGGCAATCCCCTGCTATGGCTGACATCTTACCTAACTGGGCGAACGCAGTACGTCACGGTACATGGGACGTCCTCAGCCGACACAACAGTACTATCCGGAGTTCCCCAGGGTTCCATCCTCGGCCCCCTTCTTTTTATCTTATACGTCAATGATCTGCCCGCAGCTGCCCCGGGCACATCACTATTCGCAGACGACACAACGCTCCTACGGGCATCTCCTAACATCACTGGCCTGATGAGTAACCTAGCTAACGGGATTCAAAGAGTAATTTCCTGGATGTCGTCTTGGCGGTTATCGCCCAATCTGTCTAAAACTAAAATCATGCTCTTTCCTTCTCAGCCTGATGTTCCGCCCCTCCTCCATCCCACTTTCCCCAAGCCTATAGACATAGTCTCCAGCCATAAGCATCTTGGCATTTTCATTGACTCTAATCTTTCATGGGAACCCCACATCGATTACATATGTAAACGATCAAGTTCATCTTTAGGAATCCTCTCTTCTCACTGTTACCATCTCCCAATCTCTTGTAAACTCCTTTTTTACTCAGCTTACATACGCCCCATTTTTGATTATGCAGATACTGCTTGGGCTGGAATTTCCACAACCCGTGCTGAAAAGCTCGAAATTCAGCACAAAAAAGTTCTTAAAATCCTCCTCCGGAAACCCCGCATGCTCCCATCTTCCACCCTTTATGCCCTTGCTCACACTACCCCTTTGTCTAAGAGACGTAATTCACATCTTGTCACCCTTATCCATTCTCTCAAACTCAATCTGTGTCCACCTCACCTCCACTGTTTCAACTGGTTTTCTTCCCGTAGCACGAGAAACTCCCTTTCCCTTCCGAAACCCAAGTCCTCCTTTCTACTTCACTCTCCCCTTTTCACTGCGTACTCTGCGTGGCTGGCACTTCCCCAAGAAGCTAAGGACCTTTCTTCCCTCCGCCTTTTTAAGAGCCTTGTCGCGCCTTGACTTTGATTTTGTGTTTCTCATTTTGTTGCAATCACTACTTATCCATGCCGGTTCCTTTTTTTCTTCTCCTCCCCTTCTCCCTTCCTTGCCGTGGTTGGCTAACACCCTCTCTCTTTGTATTGGCCGGTGTTCTCACTGTGCTATGAGATGCTGCAATAAATAAATAAATAAACCCCCGGGTTATGTACTCTTGATCATATCAAGAGTACATAACTTTAAAAGTCATAACCCCTGGGTTATGTTACAATATGTACTCTTGTCTTGATCATATTCATACATGTACTAGATAATGCTGGAGCAAGAGTACATTTATGTCAGGAAGTCGTATATATACGACTCCCTGATTTACTCAATCTGCGGACAGAACTGTTTCGTCCATGATGTGATCCAGGGAGCCGGAGTCGTAAATATCAAAAGCACCATGGAGTACAGGGCCTACACTTATAGGGGGGGGGGGGGGGGGGGGGGGTTATATTTTACGACTCCCTGGTTTCGTCCTTTGTGTGTACGTGTGTGGACTCGTACCAAGAGTACATATATATGTACTCGTCATGATGTCAGCGCAGCACAGAGGAAATGAGGCCTGATTTATGTACTCTTGCCTCTTGGCTGGAGTCATTGCATGCTCTCAGTTTTCTCGTCTCGAGTTTTGTGTGTGTGTTTTTGTTGAGGAGTTTGAATCAGTTTTTTTTTAGTTGTGATAGCAAACATGTATGAAGTCGACATACGCAGGCCAATGTGAACTGAGAAGTGGAGGCATACCTGTAGAAGGCAATTTGTGTAGTATTTTGTGTTAGTGTTACCAGCCATCATGGAGTGCCCCCTACTTGGCAGGGAGTTGGTCCTGCCCGTGTGTTTGTTGGTCAATTTGATGTCGTCAATTTGTATCGTGGTCTTGAACAAATGGCTGTACACATACCACCACTTTCCAAACATCACGCTGACCGCGCTACATTTCGTAATGACCTGGCTTGGACTAGTAGGCTGTGCTGCGGCTGGGCTCTTTAAGCCCAAAAAACTACGCATAATGTCTGTAGTGCCGCTTGCAATGTCCTTCTGTGGATTTGTGGTCTTCACGAATCTGTCCCTGGAGAGCAATACGGTGGGCACGTACCAGCTGATGAAGGCTATGACCACGCCATGCATTGTCGTTATCCACACGTACTTCTACAACAAGCGCTATAGTGTTCCTGTATTGCTGACGCTGGTAAGCTCCGGCCCGATGATAGCCATGCTGTGGCGTAGTGCAAGTCCAGCCATGTATTTGTGTGGTGTATGGACCATGGACTGCCGTTGTTGCACTACCGGTGTGTTCCCGGGTCACGAGCTTGTGAATAGCTGCTGAGCAGGAATGTGGTTTGTACAATTGCCCTACAGTAGAACCTCACTTATCCGGACACCTCAGGACTGATATGTACCCGCATCTCACTGAGAAACGTCGGGAACTTGGAAATACACTACAACTGCACTGGATATGACCATTATTCTCTTCAGTTGGGCTTGCTGAACCTAGATCGATACCATTGATACCATTTGCAAGCATACACAATAGAAACTGAGAGACGTGACTTTTCATGTGAAGTAGTTCAGCTGACTGCTGCGAGAAGGCATTCGTTGTCAAGGTCTGGTTGCGGGTACCTGCCTGCAAGGTACCCGGTTGAGGCAGGTATCTGGATAAGAGATGTTATGCTGGTACTGTATGCACAGAGCAAAATCCAAACTAGCGCCGGGAGGGGGTCTTCACGAGCATAACAGAGTACAAACTCCGAGCTTTCTACTTCATGTAAGAAGTTTCTCATACAAACTTTGACAAGTTTGGTGCATTTTCAAAGTACTGTTATCTGGTTCTGGGATAGCATTTGATTGCCACAATGCTGCTCCATCTGTTTGATCCTGTTCTAGATTGCACAAACCATGCATGCATGGTGTGCCCTTAGCCGGAAGTCGTCAGTTGTTTGGCGAAATTCTGGTGGGGAATGGAGGCTATGCATGTGAAGTATGCTGCCAGTGCTGATGCTCAGGACTTCATATACAGTCGTCCCTCTCTAATCCAGCACCCTCAATAAACCAGCACAATTTTCAGTAGCCAAAATGTCCTCTTCATGCACATTGCAGCAGTAAATCAGATGTGTAAATCCAGCACCCTCCCTAATCCAGCACAATTTCCCTGGCACAAATGGTGCCGGATTATAGAGGGACCACTGTACTGGCCTTGTTGAACCGTCGCTCTGTTGATCTTAGGGATTTGGTAACATGAAATGGTATAGTAGAGTAATGGTGGTTTAACACACACCTGGCGAAATGGCGGTAAATATACGCCTGCCCACACATATGCTCTATCCGATCATTCAGCATGTGAAGTTCTTTGTTTTCTCTGCTGTACCTAGATACCTATAACTCTTGGCGTGGTGTGCAACTCCTACTATGACGTTCGTTTCAATGTCTGGGGAACAGCGTATGCCACCATTGGCGTCTTGGTGACTTCAGTCTACCAAGTTGTAAGTGACAGTCATCGTGTGTTGTTCGTCGGGGTGAAACTATTATACCGAATATTCGAGTACTCGCTTGATTTTTTTCAAAAATAATCGTATTCGGAATAAATCAGAGTACTCTTTCATACGTGGTTCATGCATTTACCACAGAAATCTGCAGTTGCAGAGCAGCAGTCAGTAGATATTGATGTGCAGACTGTGTGGTGAACATTTGTACACGAGTAGAGAGAGCCCAGATGACCCACCAATCAGTATACGTGTGGGAAATGACTGCCAATCCGTTCAATCAGGGCTCGAATATTCGATCGGAGAAAATCAGAGTACATGTACAAGTACTCGAACTCTGGATCTCAGTGCCAACTTTCACCCCTAGTTGTGCGGATATGTTTGGATGTGTGCATCCACAGAGCTTTGCATGTGTTGTGGCTCCTCAAAGCATGGTATATCGACGGTTTCACGTTTGGTCCTCTACTATTGCGTGCCAGTGAAAATGGATGATCCTGTGGTTTTCCTATGCGGTTTTCTTTTGACAAATGTCGGACTGTCCGTATGTCTGCTTGCTATGCTCTATCTTTGCTTTGTGTAGTGGGTTGGAACGAAACAGACCGAATTGGAAGCCAGCTCAATGCAGCTGCTCTTTTACCAAGTGAGTTTTCCGTGTTGCGTTGGCTGAGCGTGTTGAATGTGGGTCTTCAACTTGTGGGAAGACTCCGTGCAACTGTGTGCCCAGGTGTTAGTACACTCTCAAACGTTTTTTCTAGGTGTGCGGGGAGAACTTTAGATGTACAGAACCTCTCTGCTGCACTTAGCTAACATTTGGTGCCGATAAACAATCCAACCTGATGAATATCACAGCACCAGGATTTGTCCTGTCCTTGCACTACGGATGCTGCTAGTCTGTGTAGTAAACATGGCTTTGTTCAAGTTTGGTGTATTCATGAAGTCTGAATTCATTTGGTGCAGTGTATCACTGTGCGATTATGCAGTGAACTCGGACAATTTCTGTGTGCGTGTGTGTGTGTGTGTGTGTGTGTGTGACCAGGTGTGCATTGGGGGGCCGATTCACGTGGCTTCGCCAGTTGTGTGGATTAGACAGTTGTCTGGCGCTTGTCTTGATCTGTTTCAATCAGAGTCAGATCCGCTATCGTTGCTATAAAGAGAAAATCTGTGGGTGCACATCCAGTGCATTTGCAGATTTGCGTGCTTCTCTTGCGACGGGCGTATACATGGTACATGGTGTGTGTGTGTGTGTGTGTGTGTGTGTGTGTGCGCGCGCGCGCGTGTGCATGCACGTCTGCATGTGTGCCTGCTTGCTTGCATTTGTCTGCTTGTGCATGCACATGTGTATGTACATGTATGTGTGTGCAGGCGCCTATTTCAGCATGCATGCTATCAGTAGTTGTGTTTTTACAAGAACCACCGTGGTCATCAACTGGACTGTTCTCTATTCTAACTCTTCGTGTTTCGGTAAGGATGTTTCACAAAATGAATGAAAAGGGAAAGAAAGGAATTTTCCCATCACATCATGTATCCGCAATAGGGTCAGTCAGCCGGGTTCTCTTTTGTTCTCGAAATGTGGCCAGGCATGCAGGCATGAATGCTAAGCAATAGGCTTCACACGTTGCAGCGTTACGTTTGTTCCTGCACACGACCCAGCACTATCTGAGTCCCACCAGTCCTGGATATCGGCCTGCCAGGTTTACAGGTCTTCGAGAGTTTCCGTGCTTCCACCGAGGGAGTGTATGTCAAAGAGCGACGAGGCGCTAAAGCCAATACCATATATTCTCTATTATAAGCGCCGTGCTTATATTTTTTCAACACCCCTCTACCCCGTGCTTATATTAGAAACCGCGCTTATATTGGAGACTGTGCTTATATTGGAGACCGTGCTTATATTTTTTCAACCAATACATCCATACAGAGAAAGAAGAAATACATGCTAGATATCATGCATGCCGCATTGATTTCCAACAAGACCGTGCTAATAATAGAGACCGTGCTTATATTGTTTCAAAAGGTGCTCAAAGTGTGCTAGTATTAGAGACTGTGCTAGTAATGGAGACCTGTGCTTATAATAGAGAATATACGGTATTACAAGTACGTATAGCCTTTTGTGGTTGCGGGAACACCTTTCTATGGTTGCAAGGAAAAAGCAGGTTGGTCAGATGACCTAATACTTTTGTTTTGTATCACTTGTGAAACCAACGCGTATAGCCGTTTGGGTTGTAGGCTTGCCTGCGAATCATGAGGTTCCGAGTTCAAACCGGCGCAGGTAACAGGGAGTGTGTTTACTGTTTAGTGCTCTCTCAATCGCGTGATGCAGACGAGTACCACTTTACATGCAATGAACTGTGCCGATGCCCACGGTGAACTGGGTACTCACTTGCTCGGTGTGAGGGTAACAATGATGCGGTTATAGGGCCTTTACACGCCCGCTTGTTGAGAGGCTTATCCCCTCTCCCCTGACTCACTTGTGAGGTCTGCATTCGACACTGAGGATATATGGGTGAAGTGGTGGCCCGCCGATGTGAATGTATTTGCTTGATGTGTTCCTCAACACGTCAGGTGATGCGGCTGCGAATCCGGCTAACTTTTTTTTTTTTTTTTGTGAAATTCATCCGGCAGAAACTAGTGAGGACTAGACTGTCTGCTAGTCTTTATTGTGCATGAGTGCTATTGATTGCACCCTCATCGGAACCACATGTATTGCCCCTGTGTGCTCAGGCCCTTGTGTTGCTGTCGGGTGTTGTGGCATTCTCTGTGAACCTGTCGATCTTTTGGATTATTGGCAAGACATCGCCTGTTACGTATCCTCTTTCACAAAGTTAGGTCTTACTTGAGATGCTTGCACATTGTAACTGGATTGAGGTACGTGTTATTTCGGTGTAATGTAAATTAACGCAATAGCGAGTTGCGTATATCTTTCTTGTTTCCACGGAAACTTTTGTAAACACTTTTTGGCATTTTTGGTAGCGAAACCAGTTACCTAAATTTAGAAAAGCTTGGGGATATGGGCGATATTTGAATAGATATGCTTGTCACCTAAATCGAAGTTACACCTGAACCCCTTGGACCACGTAAATGCATGTGTTCTGCAGTAGTGGACCTCTGCTAAGCTTGGGAGGGTTAGCAGGTTGTTTGGGCTGGGAGTAGAAATCTTTATTATGCAGCGTATCTTTTGTCGACTTTTCAACCTTCTGAGGGAGCTGAGAGTTCTTTCCTTGACTAAGGTTTTTTTTTTCAGCTATAATATGGTGGGCCACACGAAGTTCTGCATTACAGTCCTGTCTGGTACTCTGATATTCCACGACCCAATTTCACTGAACCAGGCTGTTGGGATGTTCCTTACGTTTTCCGGCGTTCTGACCTATACGCACTTCAAGATTGGCGAGCAATCAAGCAAGAACTCGGGAACGCAGCATATGAAAACGAGCGCGTAGCAATTACTGAACTGGTTCGTTGCAAAGCAGACTAGGAAATGTCCTTAGTCAGAGGTGACCTTGGTGGTTTCTTTAAAAAAAAAACCCAATTTGATATCGAATTTGTTCAATCACTTTATACCGAACCTATTATCCTGTGTTATTCCTAGTTTCTGTTTTGTTTTATCGTGCTTTCTTGAGCTGTGTAAGTCAGCCATTTTAATTTGTAGGCCTTCTAGCTTCTCTGATAACTTTCTGGTTTAGTACGTCAGCTTTAACATAGCATGGCTGGCCCATGCGCTAATAATATAATTATGCCCCATCCTGAAATACTCAACTCATCCACCGTGTGTGACTAACTATCATGTCACATATTATACATAATTATACTTATGCCGAATTTCCTGCACCCTAATTTCAAGCCATGCTCATTGTGTAAGTCCATATCGTGCCCACGCATCTGCATTATATTCCGATTCATCTTCTTTCACTGGAGTTCGTACAATAGTGCTGGCTAGGGAGTAGTAGAATACCCTGGTGCTAGCTAGTGAAATTCGACCTCTCACGTGTCGCCAGTTGTATGAGGACGTCACGTGACCGAAGTTGGGTACAGGTTGCAGAGCTGCAGGGTGTTTTTCGACTCACGGCTTGTAAAGTGTGCCCATGCCATGGTCGCGGATTCCACTGGCTAACACTGTAGTTCAATACCGTAAAATTCCGTAAATAAGCCCACCCTAAATAATGCCCATGTCCGATAATAAGCCCAGTTTCAGGCGGTGTACACTTCAAGTCCGTTTTAGCGCCCATGCCCGAAATAAGCCGAGGGCGTAAAGTGGACTCAAAATGACCAGCGCGCGAGCGTGCGTTCACGTACAAACTGTAGAACAGTTGTGCCTTGTACTTACCATAGCAAGTGGTTTACCTATCAAATTTGTAATTTATCGCTACATTCTTGGTTACGACCAAATTTCCAGCTGTGGTTTGATGTACCTGTACCGTGCTCAGTGTGAATGGTGGTTCACTGAAACTAGTGGGTTGCTGATAGATTGATCTTCTGCAGATTGCGTCCGAAATAACACCCATGCCCAAATATACGCCCGTTTTTTGACGCTCTGCAAAGTATACGCCCGGGGCCAAGAGTTATGAACTCTTGCCGGGGCTTATTAACGGAATTTTACGGTAGTGCACGGGTTGACTACTGGGGGAGTACTGGTGAATATCATGCTGGCTCACATGAATTTGGGCGCAGAGTACCGTAAAGTCTTGTATAAAAGCCGCGGCTTCTATGACTTTCTTGGTGAAATTTTGCAGGCTTCTATACAAGACAGGTATTTCTATGTACGTCAACACTAAAACCAGGCTTATGTGTGATTTGATGAGCCCACAATTGCGGCTTCTATTCAAGTGCGGCTTTTATACAAGACTTTACGGTATTTCTACTACCTTCAACAACTGTGAGCACACGTATGGTACAATGTAGTACACGTACATGGCATGGTCTTCCTACACAATGAAATAGCCTTGCAGCCAATAAGAAACAGGATAAAATGTCCAAGTTCAGATATATACACAATTACAAACTACACAGTTAAAAGTTAACACTACACAATTACAAACTACACAATTACATGTGCTTCGAAGTATATACATTATGTACAAAGACGAGATCACAGACTTTGATTGCATGATCAAACGCTTCGAGCACTATACAGCTGCTCGGTGAACGTAACATTTCTACAGTAAGAATAATAGAGTATTGGTGGAATATATAAAGGATAAGCAGTAATTTGTACAGATATGGAAGTTTCAGAATGCTCTCTACAGGCAAGCTGGATATGTCCTCAGATGAAGTGCATAATAAAACACAATATGGTGGAGGTCAAGACACGCAAGTTCAGTCTTTTGCAACAAGGAATTCACGAATGCTGCTCAACAGATCTCTCTTCACATCATCTGGAACTAGAGCTGGAAGGGAGAAGCAAGGCACATGTACAAGAGAATAAGCACCCAAAAGGAACATGTTGTAAGGTACCCTGCAACAGATCAACCCGTATGTTCCTCCTCTGGAAGAAAAGACTTTGATCCAAGCAATACAGCCTGCACTGGAAATAACAACAGAGTCATGTACTATATTTGCCCAAAAAATCCGGCCAGTGCTGCAAGCATCGTAGTCGACTACCATGTGCAGGATAATACCCAGGATTGGTTTGATTTTTTGGCGAGTCTAGTATGTGACAATACGGTCAGCATAACAAATTACATGTATGATCATTGGTCTGCGTTAGAAAAAGTCATCACATAATTTCTTACATCTTGCTTTAGGTGTAATCATCTTCACAAGCTCATCTGCAGTCAAGTTCTCAACACCCTTCTCTTCGACAACCTCTGCCAAGCAATTGCAAGATGCAAAACACATATGATACAAGGTTAGTGTTACTGTTCATTGCGTGAACATACAAATTAACAGCCCAGATGAGATGGGAAAAGTGGGAACGGACCAGCGTGCTCCACAGCTGGGCAAAATCAGGGTAGGCCAGGCCCATATTGCAAGAAAAAAGAGGAAGACTCATACCCCATTTCTGCCTGATTTTGCATCATAAGCCATCAATCCCAACATGTTGCTAGTGTGCACACAAACAGAAGTTTGCTTTTCTTTCCATTCTTTGTGTATTTCCGCTCATAAATCTACCCTGACATTCCCTGATACCATAGGTATTGCTGAAGTGAACAATCGTAGCAGCAGATGAAGGCTGGAAAGCATTTGTTGTCATAAATCCATAGCACAGTACGGTGTTATTGTTTTATCACTCTGGATACCCCTGACCTTGCAAAAAAAAAGGTGTCGGATGGGTAAATTTCGGAAATGTAGTTCAGCCTGAGCTATCTTGACCAAGGAACAATAAAAAAAGTCCTTTTTGAAACGAAACGTGCTCTAAACAAGCACAAGTAGTTGGTACGTACTTTTCGCATGCAGTCTCAGCTGCTCTTTCCAGCCGCATTTCTTCAAACGCTCCTTGACTACTGCTGTCAATCTGTACAACATAAATGCGAGCAAGTACCATACCGAGTTGGTCAGAAGACAGTACAACCAGGGAGCTTGGCTCAGTCCAAAGTTAGACAGGGAGAGGAAAGCACACCACACTGAGAGCCAGAGGCAACATACTAGTACAATAGAAATGCTGATTATCCGGAACGGCTGGTCATGCTGAACTGAAAGAAACAAGATAAGTTTTGTTGTCCCCCTGTAGCATCATACCACCAGTGTGCAGGATGCATGACTGCTACCTCCCGTGCAGAATGCCATTGTGGTGAATTTCAGGCGTACAGTCCTGTCATACATGTAATGGGCTTGCACAATCATGCGGCCGTGCATAATCGATTTTTATTCCTTCAGACAATAATAATAATAATGACACCCTCAACCGATGAATAATCCATCTGTTGTCATTTTCGGCAGGGATTTCAAGGTGTCCATTCAGGCTTAACATTGTGATCCGCAAAAGCGTTATATTATTCTGACCGAACAGGTGAGAAACAGGTCACACTGTCGGGATCTTATGAGCAATCGGTCCAGCAATAGATATTCATTACATAGTGGCTGCAGAATATGTGTGATCACCACCTAATGACTGTGTGATACACCAGATCAATGCTGGCATGATAGGTGCACATTTCACTGGACAAAATGTATGCTTTAGGGCTCTAAGAGCAGTGCAAGTGGGTGAAAACACTCCATCCTTCGTGACATTGTTGAACATGTCATCAATGTGTGTCCGGTCTGATAAAACAATGTCAAGCAATACGCATGCTGCAAAGAACATACAGTGCCCTCGGTACGTATACTTTTCCACCCAAACTTCCGAAGAATGGCAATGTCACAAATGTAGAATACGAGTATGTGTAGTATAGAGTATTACATGACGTGTGCGTCATCATTTGACATCCTTTGTATGGAGTAGGAAAATGGCGCCACAAGCACTGGTTTGTTGCTCAAATCTCGATTTGAACTGGGCATATACCATGATGTACGCCTGACTAGAATAGAAGTCCCATGAACTCCGGTTACTACTGTAGCGGACATTGAAATCTGCTGGGAAGTCAAGCGGCCACGGGGCGCTGGCCTTGCAGCCGCGAGCGCTGCTGGTCCACTTTTACAGTTGAAGTGTGCACGGGAACTACAGACAATGTACGCGCTAGAAACAGTAAGGGTGCCGGCCCCGGTCATCCCATCGGATTTCAATGTCCACGGCAATAGTATATGTACTTTAGCAAGTGCGTGCGATTCCTACTGTTGAATCGAAGTTACGGAAGCATGATTCGACGTTCACTGAACACTGCACTGGCCAGTACAGAGTGCGTGAAATATGGATCTGTACTGTAGAGTAGAACCCGGGTTAGGGATCCACCTAACTCTGCACGGACATAGCTGGACTCAGTTGTACAGGGATGGGCAAAAGGTGTGCAAAACGACTTTTTGTGAGTAGATGGACGCCGAAAAATAGTTTGCAGCGAAAAAAATTACCAACGGGGGACCCCCCCTTGGGCCGGAAATTAAATCCCGGTATAAGGATCACCCGGTACCCGCACAATGTGCATGCCAAGTGACCCCCCCCCCCCCCGGGCTCCGCTCCCTAATCCGGTGTGACCCATAACCCGGGTTCTACTCTAGTGCATATCACGACTCTGTCTGCCAATACAAGCATCTTGACATACATAATGTACTGTGGGTACATGTTTGAATTATTTTAAAAATATCCGGATACTAGTAACTAGAAGTTTTCCTTGGGAATTTAGGCATGTGCCATGATCTCATTTACTTGCTGTAGTGTTCACATACACCTGTATAGGCCTTCAAAATTGAATATAACCCATTTTCAGATTCAGATTTAACGTCTTGTTTTTGCCACACTAGCACTGCAGGTCTAACTGAACGAGGGCATTGAAGAATTTCACATAAAATTAGCAACGTCAAACATACCTCTCGCGTTCTTCAGCTTCTGATTTACTACCTCCGCTCTTATGCCTGCGCTTCGAAGACATACTGCGAGCGGACAAATCACTTGCACTGAGAATTACAGTGGGTAACACATTACAATTACAAGCAACAGTAGTTCTGCATGTATGACCAAAATAATAGCGCATACGTGTGTATACGCCGCATAGCGCAAATATTTTTTTAATACATGCAAAATTAAAAATGTTGATTTCGAATTATTAATTTAAATTATTTTTCATTTTCGGTGACGCGCATGATATGACGTCGTTGTATTTGCCACGGCAACAAAATGTCCGCTCAGGTTGATCAAGCACGGTACGGCCGCGCCGCGCCGGCGTCTAGCGAGCATGCATGGTAGGAATATGATTATGAGTCACACCGTGGTCGTGAGTGCGCTGAGATGGCGAATCACGATCGATACCGAGCATGAACCGTTGATATCCAACTCGTTCTGTAGCTGTGCCAGCAGCGAGGTTTGAGCTGCAACAGTGCAAGCACACGGCAAACCAGCGGGAGCACTTCTGCCGTTTTTCGTACTGTCTCAAGCTGTACCTTCTCGCAGAGCCTTGCAATATTTTTGTACTGACACAGATCAGAAGAGGAAACCGTTCTTTTCAGGTGTATGCGAAGGTTTCTTGGAAGAGTTTCTTCTTCTGGAGGTGCGTGCTGTACTACCTGAGTCGGAAACGAGCTTCTGGAACCAGTATAGCAGTATTGATCATGGCTTCCCGTAAGAAGGTTCTCCTGAAAGTTATTATTCTTGGTGATAGTGGGTGAGTTTGCCGTGCGACGTTTTTGAACCTTTGAAGATGTGAGGTTCATCCGAGTTCTGGGGTGTTTCATGTGTGCAGTGTCGGCAAGACATCTCTCATGAACCAGTATGTGAATAAGAAGTTCAGTAACCAGTATAAAGCTACTATTGGAGCTGATTTCCTGACGAAAGAAGTTATGGTTGATGATCGTCTCGTAACTCTTCAGGTGAGTTCATGTATTTTGCTTTTTTTTACGATCTTTGTTGAAGTTACCAGTCTTCAACACGGCAGGTCTCATAGAGTTCTTCTCAGCACGTTGTATTCTCTTTTATTGTGACTGCTCGTTGTAGATTTGGGATACTGCGGGTCAGGAACGCTTTCAGTCGCTCGGTGTAGCCTTCTATCGTGGTGCGGATTGTTGTGTATTGACCTTTGACGTAACGATGCCCAACACATTCAAGAACTTGGACAGTTGGAGAGACGAATTTCTCATCCAGTCCAGTCCGCGGGATCCAGATAACTTTCCGTTCGTTGTACTAGGGAACAAGGTGGATCTGGAATCGAGAGCGGTAAGTTTGTGTGTGACGACCTTCGAGGTGTGCACCATTTGTGTGGCTGATTTTGACAAGCACTGAGTGGTCATGTGAGATGATGTGTATGGTTATGGAGATCAAATGCACAGCTTTGGGCTCAACTACTGGATAGTTTCGTACACGTTTGAAAACTCACTTCTAAAACCGTTGGATCATGTCTCGAAACTGTTGTGTACCAATGAGGGTTATAGTTTTCTGTTTATTTCTTAAATTTATGTCAAGTCTGTGTCATAGTTATTAGTGTCTTGGTGTTATTGAATATAAATCAAGCCAAATTTTGATTTACAGAGAGAATTATAATTAATAATAATTATGTCATGCACTAGTGACTTATTCCGGAGAATGCTCATACAGTACCTGTACAATCTTTTTTGACTCCTCACTGGGGAGGGCTGATTACTTTTGGCGTTTGGAGCCAGTATCCCTTCGAAGTGCACGGCACAAATGCATAGCTATTTTATTGGAGGAAGACAAGACAGCATGCGTCACAAGGAAGCCACTGATAATTTGATGAGGCCGTTAGCTTCCAACCAATAAGCTGCTTTGTAGCTGGTACCCATTGTGATTGTTTTTTCTTGGTATTACTTGTTACTTTCTGATAGTGCAATGGTGTGAAAAGCCATATAGGATTTACTCCTGGCTTGTTACGTGTACTGACAAGAACTGTACTTCGGGGAAGTGCATATTCATATGTTGTGTACGCCCCCACACCCTCCCTTTCACTGTTCTAAGTACAGCCACCTTGTATTGTATCGCTATTGTATACTCAGGGAATAATTTACTTTCAACCTTTTGCAATGTTGCTACGCAAAATCAAACTTGAATAGCAATCCAAAAATGTTGCGTAGCTATTTTCTTCAACACTTGACAACCGTCCTTCCGGAGAGCTGATCAGAGTGCAAGCTCAGACGCCAAGTACACTGTAACACCTTAGTTGCAAACCTAACCTGGTGCCAGGATGCATAGCTCAGCACTTTCGAAGTTTTGTGCATCTATTTCATCCCTAAGAGACACACCCGGCATGTGCACTGTGCATCATAGGGTACAGTGAAAAATCAATATGCATCGCAGTTGTCTGCAACACATTTCTGAAGTTGCTTCGCACCTCAGAAGAATTGCGTAGCAAAATGCGATGCGATGCCGGTTAAATTATTCCCTGTATAGTAGTAGTCTGGTGTAAAGTGGAATTTTTTCTGTACAGTCGTTCTTGTGTCATTTGTGTGTGTGTGGTCACTGTCGTTGCTCTCAGAGGAAACCAGTGGGCGTGTCCTTGCTGGTGCAACTTTTTTTACTTCTTACAGTGGGAGGACTTTGTGCAGTTTGTTTGCTAGTGTGTATGTGCGCACGCACCCGCACGCGTGTTTGGTGTGTGTGCGTGTGTACCTCCTTGCTTGTGTGTACGTTGGTAGTTGAATTATTGTCGGTTGTATGGACCCCAGTATCAGGCTGTTCTGTATGCCATTCTGCTGTCAGTTGTGCTGTGAATATATGCGCAGTCGGGCTTTGCGTTTCTGAGCATCTGCATGCCAACTCGGGTACCACCACCTTGTATCGGCATGCCTTAGAGCAAAGCTTCAGTTTATATTGTCTAAGCCCGTTGACTATCTTCATACTGGTGTGTAGGCCCTGTAACTGGAGTTGTACGTGCCCACACATGCTCTCTGGACTCTTGCCAACAAGTAACTTGTATCGCTCACTGTGTTTCTATTCAGCTGAGGAAATAGCGTCCTGGGAACTAGTACAATGAGGCAGTGTTGTTGTTGGCAGTACTGCAAGGCGTCTCAAGTGGGAGTTTAGAACTTTGATGATGATGTCTAGGGCCTTGATCCTTTGAGGGTGGTGGTATTCTTATGGTCAGTATAGATGCCGTAAAGTCAGTCTGGCTCGGTCTGACATGAACCACGAAATTTAATCGGTGACAACTCAACACGTAGAAGCCCTGAATTGTGTTGGTCTCTCGAACCATCTGACGCGGCCTATCTATCACGGCCTCACACATGCTGAACAAAGTCCAACCTTTCCAGCGGACTTGCTTGTAGCAGTCTCAGTTTGCTGGAAAAGCTGTAACTCCGGACAGTACATGGGCTTTTGGATCTCCCTCCTTTTGACCCAAAATGTATTAAGGAGTGGAAAATTTCGTATGATTGCGCGTAATCCTCGTCTGTGACTCATCCTCCTCCAGGTCAATTATTTCCGCCGTGCTTTAAATCTCTGTTGTGTTGTTTTGTAGTGCATGATTGTATCGTGTTAATCAAATGCTGGCCTAGCTTATCAATGGACTTCCACACATCACGGGGTACTGTACAGCCTGGACCCCTGTTGATTTATAAGTTGACTATTGAAATCACTGGCTTCACGTGATCAGTGGGTGATCAGTGCGATCACTGCAAGCATGGCTGTGCCCACTCTCTCCAGGGTGGAAACTGGGCGACATACACCAATCATCACAGTCCATGTTCACTTTGGGAATGGGCTTTATGTACCTACTGACTTGCCCTACTGTGTCGGAACAATATCACCACATGTGGTGCTAGAATAAAGTGGCACTCTTGCCGTTGTTCAGCTGGATAGCAGCTGTTCATACTGTGTGTGTGTGTAGGTGTGCTTGGGTATCACATGGCTTTATGCTTGTGCAGGTGTATACTCTATGAGAGTTTTACCCCCACTTCTGTGACATTTAGATTACAGTAATGTTACAACATTTTAAAAGTGTTCTTTTGCTGCTTTGATTCTGTTATTTATTAGTCGGTGGGGTCTGGCAGACCAGCATTATCATTGTCCCTCTGAAATCTGATTCTGTCATATTCTTTCTCTTTGTATGAATTGTTGTGTTGTATTTCAATGTGCATATGTGTAGGTATCGACAAAACGTGCACAGGCTTGGTGCACGGGCAAGAACAACATTCCGTACTTCGAGACTAGTGCCAAGGAGGCAATCAACGTCGAGCAGGCCTTCCAGACCATTGCCAAAAATGCGTTACTGCAGGAGGCAGAAGTGGAGATGTACAACGACTTCCCCGATCAGATCAAGCTTAACGATGCAGAGCAAAAGGAGAATACTGGCAACTGTGCCTGTTAAGCCGGTGATGTCTTGCATAGCAGCTTAATTAGGAACTGGTATTTAGGACTTTATTCTTTCCTCTGTCTTTCTTCTCCTTTCTCTTCTTCTCTTTGAGGTGGATGTAAGATACTAGTTGTTCGATGCTAACATTACTTCCGTGTCCCTAGTCCTATCACGGCTGTAGTTGTCTCTTGTTGCGTCTGTTCAATCCTCATGCACCATAACCTTCCAAACCGAGTCTGTACCTGTGATTCTTTTCATCTGCCTGTTTTTCATGTTGTCTGTGTATGTTTTGTCTCGTTCACATTCATTGTGCTGAATATATTTCTGATGATTTCTCTATGAAACAAGCGTATTGCCTGATAATGATTTTTTTAAAGGTGTATTTTGCATTGCATTCGATCCATGCATGGAATTGGCCTGGTTCTTTTCTCAATTGTGTTGTCACGCTCCCAAATGCTGTGTTTACGGCTTAGCTGTACCTACTAATGCTGGCCTTCCTTATGTGTTTCCGTTTTCCATGCTGTTTTTCAAATCTAATTCTGGCTCCACAAACCCAATAGAGTTGCCTGCTCCGTCGCCTTGCTTTACCCAACACCTCCCTATCTTTAGTCTCCATACTCGGTGTTGCCGGTTCTAATAGTATGTCACCATGTCTTGGATGATCTGTGTTTGGTTGTCATAGATATCTTTGTTTAGTGTGGAGCAAGTGATGTCTATTTATGGCCATTGGCATTGACTTTGTGGATTCCTGCTATTAATGGTTGAAGCAGATTGAACTTACTCCATCTGGATATCTGGTCTTGTTTGTACCCAACTGTGCAAGTCTGTATGTGCACAGTCATATTGTATGCAGGTGTGAGGGTGTTTGTGAATGTGTTCTTTACCTGCAGCTGCACTGCCCCTGTCAACTAACTTCAGAGAGTGCAACCAAGAGCAGAATCATTCACCGGGTAGAATACGATAATTATGTCATTCTGAATGACATAATTATCGTATTCTACCCGCCGGTTCAATACCAATATCATCAAGAGTACATAACCCCCTGGATCATGGAGGGGTTATGTGCTCTTGATAATTCTTGTTGCTGTAGTAAAATAATTATATTCAAATTCAATTGATTGAAATACATGTACTTCGAAGTACTTCAAATCAGAATTATTATAGGTCAGGAGTTCATTGTACTAGTACTTTTCGTTCAATGACTCCCTTCTTCAATGATCTTGCCGTGTGAGTGCTGGTAGATCTACATCATCGTTCATGGTTACACATGGCTCGTACAGACTCAGTTGTAGGTCGGGATCTTATCTCCTGGTCCCACAAGCACGTAATACAATCATACTACACGTCTCGGTCTGCTAGACCTTGTACTGTACTTCTTTTTCCAAAGAGAAAACTTTTAAGGTTTGTAAGATAGCACAACACCTTATCCTACAGCAGGAAGAGTGTGCAATACACGTAACATGTCGCTGGAAGGGCGATCCACTTTTTCAAACTCCAACTTCGGCTCTGCTTCAGCTTCATACCCGGAAGAAACGTATCTGCTTGATTTCTCCTGGTTGATCAATTGACAATTGTGTCGTTTTTCGGAAATAAAATTATGCTCCTTCCATCCAACAATATCAAAGTGCGCATGCGTGGGTTTTACATTGAATTCACAATGGTTGAAGATGGCGTCAAGCCTTGAGGTGAAGAAGTTAGTGGAGAGTATTGGCAACTGGGAGAATGGCGGAAGCAGTGAGGCGTACGGACATGTTGGTGGATATGTAGACAATTGTGCTATCGCCGACTGTGTGATACTGTTTTTTAAATTTTTAGGAAAGAATTGTGTATTTCACTGATTCCAGCCAGTGAAAATGATGAGCAGGGTAGGTTTGAAATTTGAGCAGAATTTTAAAAAGTATTGCTGGCATAACAAGCCCATCATCAATTTGCCTTCTAGACTTGAAATTCCGGAGATGTCTTTACGAGGTTTGTCGTCACTCCATCCTGGGGAACCTTGCAGCGTCGCTGGCAGCTACATTCTTACGTGAATTGTCGGTACGTGAGAATTTCAATTTATTTGAATTTTTGACTTCAAATAGTGTCAGTGACTTCGTATACTCGTATTTAAATTTCGTGCACCATAATAATTTGAAACCATGGCAGGATAGTGAAATGTGGTGGAAGAAGTAGCTAATAAGTTTGCAGAAGAATTTTCCTGACCCTAGTATCACTGTGTATTGTGTACATGGCTGAGTTGCAGACAATTTCGTGAAATGGTATCTCATGGCATCTAAGAGTTAGATTCGGATGGAGAGTAAGACTAAGAGTTTCCAAACTCCAACGTAGCCATTTCACTACGCAGTCACACTACATGTATAATTGATGTGGTATATTTATTTGATAACCGCAATCAATATTAAAGACTAGCTGAATCGACATTGTGTATACTTTCATCATGCAATGTAAAACTGTGGAGACAATGTGCAATAAAACGATGAAAATAGGAAGATATAATGTAGAGAAAAAATTAGGATTCAAACAAGTGTTCGTACAGCACTCCTCAGGAATCGTCGTTGTACTAAGGGGCCGTCCGTAAATATCGAACTTTTTTCACCAAACGAATTATTTTAGTTTAGACCCAACCCCTCCCTCCCTCCCCCTCAGAACGTAAAAAATGTTGACATACATGCATAATGATTTATTATACAATGGCCATGTACATGAATCAATGTTTTCTGAAACGAAATTGGTCAACCCCCTCCCACCCCATAACGGAATTATTTCGTTTTGTGAAAAAAGTTCGATATTTATGGACGACCCCTAAAGGACACTGAATTAAAAAATAATAATTGTAGTTTTGCCCGCCCTGTTGGGTTCATGCCCAAAAATCAGTGAAGATAAATTTTTTTTCACAATGAACCCTGCGGTATGATGTTTGAGACTGTAGTGCTGTAAAACCGGGAATTTTCGGTGGTGTGATATTTTCGGTATTTCCCAAAATCAACTGTTCGGTAGCGCGAAACTTTCGGTAAACCAGTTTTCCAGATCCAAAAATGCATCTAGCACACTGTGTGGCATGGCATGGTTGAATTTTAGGTCACGTTTTATTTTAGGTAAAATTACCTGTACCGAAGTTACCGAAAATAAATGCCCACCGAAATTTTCCGGTTTAATGGCCGATTCCCACTACGGTACCGTGGGTGCCGTGCCGTCGATTTGGGTAGGTCACGTGTACCCCACGGTACGAGCTTGAAGCTGAGAGTGATTTACACCTGCGCACAGCCATTCCGTGCATTCCGTCGGCAGGCCGGATCACCATATTTTTTAATCAATTTCTGACTTTGGTCCTGAGGGAAAATAGCGGGGGCCGGGGAGATGACTGGAGAAAGCTCAAGAATCAACCAATCGAAAAGCCAAAAGCCAAGAAAAAACTTCGTACCACAAATACAAAAGAAAGAAAAAACTTCCTTTCAGGGAGTAGTAAAATACCTACTACTCACTGCATTCGACCTCGCGGAATACCACGGCATGCCATTTCCACCCCCCCCCAGAGGCCCTCGGCACCGGAATGTCCACGGCGCGGTACGGCAGGAGCCACGGAATGAACTCACGCCAAAACTGCCCCTCACGTGAGCAAATCACCATGGGTACTCACGGCACGGCACTCACGGTACCGTAGTGGGAATCGGCCCTTACAGTACAGTCAGACCTCGCTTAACCGCACACATCCGTTTCCCACAAAAGTATCCGGATAGGCGACAGAACCGGATAAATAACCGAACACCGGGTTATGTTGGATACATCACGTATGCTGTAAATCTGTGACCAGCTATTTTCTTCCGGATGGTGAGGGATCCGGATAAAAGAGGACTGGATAAACGAGGTCTGACTGTATTCATCTGGTGACAGTCTTTTGATGAACTACTTCGAAGTATAGGCTAACGAGAGAGCTGCTAAGCTCGGGGCCTTCGCTATGCTTCGTTTTTACCTAGGTCATCATGTGTGTTATTCAAACTGATAGAAACATCTTTGCAATACATGATAATCGTATTGCAAAGATGTTTTTATCAGTTCAAATCAGGGAAGAATTTACTGTTAATTTTTTGTATAGCAGTTTTGGCCATACAAAATCTCACTTGTGTAACAATCTTTGATTTTTGTTTAGCACAAAAAAGATATCTGTGTGCATGTCCTGCTAGCTTCCACCGTACACATGGTTACTTGCATCATACATGTGTGCGCATATTGAGAATAGTCGGTAATTCTGCAAGAATTCTCTGAATTTTCAGGAAAATTATGGTTAGGCCACCCTTTCTTTTTTCGTTTAACGTCCGCGCCCGCATACCTTTTTCCCTCCGACCGGAAAAAAACCCAAGAAAGTAGTAGTACCAATAATATGCGAAGTTGTAAATACATGATTGTGTAGTTTCACAGTGTGCCGATCATGACCTTAAACTTATAATCTTGCTTCCCGGGCATGCCTTTGTCTTGTGTTCTTTTTCTTTTTTTGTTGGCTTTTAAATATCGTACGGTGTGTGTCCTAGTAAAAATCCAGATGTAATGAATTCATGACATGCTAACTCCATGCTATGTACCTGTTTTGTTGGATTCATCAGGCATGTGCTCCAATGTACCATCAAAGAGTGTTGTTCTATGCCTGCAAGTGCCGTTAGACCCAGATATATTGTATATATAACATGCTTTACTGGCCAAAATGTTTGATTGGGGTTTCCAGTTTTTGGAATGGGCTTTTGTTTTTTTTCCGCCCTCCCGCGTACCTTTTCGCGAAAAAAAGGACGTTAAACAATGAATTAACAAAGGGTGGCCTTACATGAAGAAGTAAAGGCGAAGATGTGACAGTGTGTTAGGCCTGTTCTCTCTCATAGTTTCACCGAGAATTAATAGTGACGTCATTAAAAAGAACACAACTTCGCCCTCAAGCCCGGCTCTTCCCCGACAAACAGTGGCCTTTTTGAACGAGCCATAGGGAAGAGGTAAGATAGCAACTGAAAATAGCAATACAGTCAACTTCGCATATAACGACACTCGGCGGGGCATCAAAAAGGTGTCCTTATTCGCGAAGTGTCGTTATACCCGAAGTCTCATTTTATGGATTACAGTGGGATGGGACTTTGCTCTGGGCATGGAAATTCTGTCGTTATTCGCGAATTGTCGTTATATCCGCAGTCGTTATTGGCGAAGTTGACTGTACCTCAAAATCCTGGGTGGGTAATGGCCCCATTCCGAGTGGGAACACACTGTCACATCTTCCCCTTCACCTCTTCATGTAACCATAATTCTACTGCAAATTCAGAGAATTCTTGCAGAATTACCGGTTACATTTCAGAGGCTGCGGCTCGATGTTCCAGTGTGTCTTTCACATTGATCCCCTACTCCACAGAGTTACGTTCGGAGTTTCCATGATACTCTAAAACGAATGACAAGTATGGACTCAAACCAAAAACAATAAACTGCTAAACTAGCAGTAATAATCGAATAAGGTAAACACATGCTCTGGCATTGTTATACTGAGTGTAACGAGCAAAGGATGCGCATCAGCATATTAAATGCGATTGATTTTATGCAGGTAAAAGAGACATTTTCTTTGATTATATGAGCGCAGTGATTTGGCAGAGCTGACATCAGCATTGAGCTGGCATACTGTGCTAAGATGTCAGTCTTCACTACAGTCGCTGCTGTTGTCGGCCGATAGTAGTGACGGACAAAGGTGCTTAGATTGCTCGGAGCCTCCGATCTCCGGCTGCGAGCACAACACTGTCCCTCCAGGAACTTGCGATGCCGCGGCCTCGTTGTTTCCGCGATTTGAACAAAAGTCCGCGATATCCGCGATATTTGAAAAATCATCCACGTTATTGTAAAAAACTGTCCTTGATACTTGAAAGCACCCGCGATATTTCGAAAAGCACCCGCAATATTCGAGTCTTTCTTCGATGTTGTTTAGTTCTTCAAGCTCGTCAGTAGTTTACTTGTGAGATCAACACCAGAATGGAGAAGTTTCTGGGCAAATCAGCGGCTGACAAGTCAAAAAAGTAAGGCTCGTTGTCCGAGCATGGAGGAAATCTGTCTTGCAAGCTCTTGTCAGGCAGTTGAACACAGTCGCAATCGAGTAAAGCGCATCACACCTTCTGTTTTATGCTATACGACCCGTACGACCGTACCGCGCCGCACTACCAATACCAAAATCGGTCGCAACTTCACCACAATATTCCCGCAATTTTTGACAAAATCCGCAATACTCCCCGCAATTTGTGGCATCTTACCTCGCAACCTTTTCCGCGATACTTCCGAAATTTTTCCGCAAGTTTCTGGAGGACAGACAACATCAATAGGGATGCCCGCTGCATGTGCCACTGGTGTTGCAGCTGAACGAGTTGAATGACCAGAAAAGGCCGCCATGTCCACACCACAACAATCCAATGCTGATTTCAACAATCGTGACACCGTGGCCGTGAGGGCTGTATAACGAACGGAGCAGCGGTTTTGACGTAGATAAGCGGAAGCCATCCGTGCGTCGTAGATACTCTGATAAACACGACACTGGGCAAAACAACGTGTCGGCAAATGATGCGATATAGACTGACTTGAGTGTCCCTGCATGCTGCGTCTTAGTCGGAGCTGACAAGGGTAAGGACACACCGTCTGGTTGGCGTAGGAGTGGGCCTGCCAGCAGCAGCTGCAGCTCTCACACGAGAAGCCTTAGCCAAAGCCAATAGTAAGACCAGGTTGTGTGTCAGGGATGTCAATGGCAATGCTGAATTCTCTCCCCACGACCTGAGAGCAGACAGGACTTTGCACACATCCAGGGATGTTGAATAGCGTGGTTTCGTTGGACGACTATTGTACATGCCTTTCATAATCTTCTTCACGTCTTCCTGTTAGCTTACAGGATTCCCAGCGATCGATGGAAGAGCTGACGAAAGCACTGACCGATACACAATAAGCGTCCGATACTGATGGCCAGCCTGGAACATATCTGTCAAGAAATTAACTATCATACAGAGAGCTGGACGAAAGGGATCAATCGACCGTTGACTACACCAGCATTCCAATTTTCGCCAGGCGCCATCGTAAGATTTCGTTGTTGAGGATCGCCGTACCTGGCACTACAAGTTGTCAGCCGCCTCTGAAAAGGCACGGTCTTGGAGGGTATTCCGGAGACGGCCTAAGCGGTCAGATGAAGTCGCTGCTGGAGTGGATCGCCCGGTTCCACCATGTACAGAGCTGCACACAGACGCTTGAACATTACTCAGTTCTGCATCAACGGGACGATCCACACCTGGTGCTGGCGGAAACACCAAAGGCAGCTTGACAGGCTCGTCCTGTGCGGTAGCCCGCACTTCATCAAAACTCAACGACAATGCCATATTTGTCAGAAAGGACTTGCAAATAAAACAATGCAATGGCTTTTGTCCTCAACGAAGGCGAGAGAAAAAAGCCCACTGTTGGTCAAGCAAGAGCCGGGCTTGAGGGCGAAGTTGTGTTTTTTAAACGACGTCACTATGAATTCTCGGTGAAAATATGAGAAAGAACAGGCCCAACACACTGGAACATCGAACCGGAACCTCTGAAATGTAATCATGTACCACCTACACTGCACTGTACGTATATTACTTGATGGCGCAAGCTAGGAATGGATCACCTGTATGGATCACAGTTTTTTTCTGCGAGTCGTGGTGATTTTTGAGTAGCAGTAGATCGATTTTGCTTAGCAAACTGCGATGCGATACCTGATAAATTCATCCCTGCGAATAACACACATGATCTAGGTAAAAACGAAGTTTAGTGAGGACCCTGAGCTTGGCAGCTCTCTCTCTCTTTCCTTTAACAAATTGAAGGCCTCCTCAGTACAGCTCTGAGCTTTAAGCAAGCCGAGCTACCAGCCATGGTGCAAAGGAGGCACCACAAACATTAAGATAGCTCGTCGCTCTAGCGCCAGAGTGCTAACTCCGAAATGTAGCGGGCAATGCATAATGCAGCAGCACTAAAGCAGCCTACTGAGGCTGCGTTTACACGACAACGCTGGGGGCGAAAACGCAACGAAATCCTTTCGGATCCATGGTTCATTTACACGGTGCGCGGAGCAAAACGTAAAAGTTGTACACCAGAACGGAAGAAAACCAAAAACGCTGGCCAAGGTGGAAGAATTTGAAAACGGAAATGTTCTGCCGGATAAATTTGGGTGTGTAAACAGTCGAAACGGTGTGCTGGCCTCGTTTTCCGTCACGTTTGTTTCGTTTTCGGCCGTTTACACGGATCCGACAATCCAAATACAATTTTCGTCATGTGACGTGTGTTGTCGTGTGCCTGTTTTCAACCATTACTTGAGTGTGATTGGTGCTTCCACGGCAACACTTGGCACATGACGAACTTTGGCGGATCCTTTGCTCTCGTGTAGACGCTTGAAAACGATACAAACGGAGACCACCTCGGATCGGCTTTGATCGTGTAAACGTACGAAAACGAAAAAAGAAATGCTGGACTGAAAACGGAAAACTGGCCGTGCGTTGTCGCGTAAACGCAGCCTAAGACAACACGATGAATGTCGAGGAGCGCACTACACCATGCTGTTACATACATAACTCATAAGTTTAAGACCTTAGACCAGCTGCCATTATGTAATCTAAAGGAAATTCAATGCCCGACTGTTAACATTGATATATTTATGCTTGTACTTGTGCAGGAGTCCAATGATGTCGTTGCAAGTATACTCATTGATATCTTGTCCGTTCTTGGTAAGTGTGTGTGTGTGGGGGGGGGGGGGGGGGGGGGGTGTTGCCTGGTACCTGTTCAATGGTTGGTCACTGGTTATGGACATAACAAGCTTGTGCATCTTTTCACATGTATACACACTGAATAAGTCTTGTACTGGCCAGTTCCATTACATGTACTGGCATCGCAATGTGTTGTGTAGCTCAGTGACTTGTCCCTTTGAGCATTAGTACTCTGGCAATGTATGCTTGGGTCTGATCTGGTTTAACCCTTTCACCACTAAGGCAGTATATTTTTGCACCCGTCCACTAAGGACGGATATATACGTCCTACATGTATTTAAGTGTGCATCGCACTCTGCAACATGTCATACAATTGTAACCCAGTGCTTGGGTTGATCATGTACTCGGTCGTACAGGTACATGTATGTGTTTTGAAGGTCTGATCTTCTCCTCCAGCAACATACACGATCGAAGTAGATGTCTGTATACATTTTCTGTGTACTGGTATGTGCCTATGTGGTGGTTACAGATGTGGAGGTGGGAACATCAGAAGACAAGACTCATCGACCCAAATTCATTCAGCTGCTGGCTGAATGTGCCGTACGTCACTTGAAGGGTTTTGTACTCTATAATAAATTTCTATCTCAGTTGGGAGGCAATCTGTTGTGTGTCCCAATGTGCCATTGGGTGTTTCATGTTTGCTCTTCAGATGTAGCTGCGTGACATGTCACCCTACTGTTAAGAGTATTGTGAAATAAGTTGGACAACCCAGCTGGTCTGGTTTGATAGGCACAATTGTTATACAAGCCGTCTACTTTGAAGTGTGATTATACATGTACATGGGTCGCTTATGAGACTGTGGTTTCGAATCTCTCTTTTTTGCATTCAGAAATTCATCCCAGACAGCAAGCTGAAGGTTCACTTGGATGCAGAAACACTGAGTTCGCTTTCTCTTATCTCGTCACAAAAGTTGTTTGACCAGAGATGCATCAAAGTGAAGACTCGCTTGTTGTAAGTGGAGTGGATGCATGTGTGTGCTAGCTCACCTGTTTGCTTGCCTCCTTGATTGCATTATCCAGCTTTTTCTGTGCCATTTATGTGTCTGCCTGTGCTAGGGTGTGGGGGTGTCCGCTTCTGCAAAGAGAATGCTGCATAGCAAAGGCTGTTTTCACTACTGTCACTCTGAAGAACAGACCTAGCTTCAGGCTGCTCACAAGCACATTTCAATTTTCAACCAAAAATTCCAGGAGTACCGGTACTTTCACTGCATTCTCATCATGAACATAGGCAGAAGTAAAGTGGTCTGGAATAAAAGTCTGGAAATTTGATTTTGTTTTCCGCTGTAAACCAAGCAATACGTTTAAGTTGATACTAAGCACAGGCAGCAGCAAGAGCAATAGCGAAAAACAAGTGAAATGCATGGAAGTGTTGATTCTCGAACTTGTTGATAAAATAGCAAGTCCTGCTATCATGCACAAGTGGTCCAGGTGTGAAGAGGTCGGCATAGGTGTGATATGTATTGGGAATTGTGATGACAATAGACAGCAAATGGACACATGGACAGCTACACCAGTTGTGCGTAGTAATAGCACTTGCTATTTGTCTGTATGTTTGAGAATCCACACTTTCCATGCATTTCGTGTGTTTATTCTCGCACTTGCTCTTGTTGCTGCTTGCATCACCTTTCATCATCATCATCATCTGCGTTGCCGAAAAAATAATAAAAGTAAAATTTTAAAAATAATAATAAACGGCATTATGCAGCTGTGTAAGCAGTAGATGCACAGTGCGACTGCCAGGCATCTCTGTCAGATGCCAACTGGCAATTCTCATGCAGAGACATACCAGTCCACGAAACGATGTTGTCAGCAAAGGAAATCTTCGGACGACCACGCTTTCTCTTACCATCCACGACACCAAACATCACGTCACGTACAAACTCGCAGCCAGATGGCCTTTACATTAGATCAATTATTGTACTGGTTATTTTCATTCCTGCCTGTATCGACCTGATAAGAAGGCTGAAGCTAGTTCTGGTCTTTAGTCTGATTGATGTGTCCGAGAAAGCAATTATTCACTATTCCTGATGTTATTGACACTATGTACTCGATTTTGTCCGAATGCTGTCTGCACCCTCACATTTTCCATATTCTTTCTTCTGCTAGCTATCGGCAAGACAAGTTCAATCTCCTTCGTGAGGAAAGTGAAGGTTACAGCAAACTTGCTGTTGAACTGGGTCAAGAGCTAGATGGCAGCTTGGACAGCTCGGACTTGCTGCAGCGTGTTATGGCCCTGATCGGTACGTCGCCTATATTCTCTAGCTCCCTGATTTGAAGATTGTCTTGGGGTGATGTGGCCTTAAGATCTAAGTACTATTTTTGTAGAATATACACAATATATGCATAGGCTTGCTATCTTCTCATATGGCGTTCACCTTTACAACATGTGCTGTTTTTCGACAGGGGATATCTGCTCGCCACATTCTGGGATCATTAACATAGAACCGTTTATATCATGTGCCCGAGTGACGCCATTTTGCACCTCTTTCAATAACCCACAGACAGCACTAATAATCCTAAGTTTTTTTTGTCCAACAGGTCACTTCAGTTTAGATCCTAACCGAGTCATGGACGTTATGTTGGAAGCAGTCGAGTGTCATTCGCCAGAGAAGCAGTTACTGCTGTTGCCTGTGATGCGTTCATGCAACGGAAGCGCAGGGACTTTGTGCCAACTGCTTGGCTTCAAGTTCCAGCAATATGCGGTAAGCTATGTTCCGCCTACATTCTAACCTTGCCTTTGGCGTATGGGATCTGCACTTTAACCCTTTACCTTCTGTGTGTACATGAATCGACCGAATTTGGTCGATGGACATGCATGCACTAAAACATTTGTAACTCGATCAATTCTTGACGGAATCTCAAAACCTAAATATGTAGGAAGAAGCCGAAGAGCCCAGCTGTTCGTTGCAACAATCGGCGAAGAGCTGCAATGCCGCAATCCAGAGATATCGCGCTCGACATTTCAGCCACGGCAAAAGTCGATTTTTTTCTGAGTGACTGGCCTTGAGCTGGGGATTTTCCCTCTCCTGACATGCTGAGTCACCTGTGCATGTTTTGAGCGCGTGGGCAGCATAAAAAGAAACCCAGGACAACAAATTTGAAATGTTTACGATGAAGGAGTGAGAAATGGCTGAAGAGGAGAGAATTTTCTCGGATACCCAGCGATGGGGAGTATTTGAAGCACCCTGGCGTTGGATATGTGATCTCAGTAGTGTCCAGTTTGAGCTCATTGTACGCAGCTCGTGGAGAGCTTTCCAGAATGCCCAAGAGTGTGAAAATCGGTTAATTATAACCAAAGATATTCTCAGAATGAGGTGAGAAATATCGCATTTGGAACTGCCTGGGAATTATGGTCAGAAGGTAAAGGGTTAACGGATAGATCACGACTTTGGTTTGACAGTAGAAGATTGTATTTTACAATTGGCTCCAGGCAATTGCCAGTTTAATAATGAAGGATGTTCTGCTCCTTTTGGAACAGAACCGGACATTCAAACATTCAAATAAAGACTTAGTACAACTAAAAGCCATGCGGAGGCATGTGATCAATATGGCATCGTGACATCATCATGTGCGTGTCTTGTCTTGTCTTTTCTCAGGAGTCTTCTTCGAGCACTCCACCCAGCTTGTACCGTACTGCTGCTCTGCTGCTGCATACTAATCTCGTCCCCATCGAGGAGCTGTACACTCACGTAAGCATCTACTGAGTATCATTATTATTCTTAAATTTTGTATGAAGTGTACGCATTGTATGCCGTGTATGCAGCAACAGTACTTCTTGCTAGTCCTGCTGTGGTGATAGAAGCTGGCCTGGGCATGTTGAAGTGATTTGGCGTGTCTTGACAGTACACATACTTGTTTTAGTGCGTGTATACTGGACAGTGCTGGACTTCTCCTCGCTTATGGCTACAGTAACAATTTTTTGTTTTTGCAACTGTTCTGTTCAATGGCCTATATTGTGGTTTCAATTAATCCGGGTGCAAACATGGTGTCTCGACATGATATTCACAACTGCTATTCTGATACTTTGTATTTGACTGCTGTATACTCACGCATTGATGAAATGTTTCTATCACGAAGCAAGTGCGGTCGATCAATTGGATAACTGAGGATTTAGACGTATAAATAAAGGATGCGTCTGAGGATTTATGGCTAATAAAGACCTGTAACCGTGCTTTTTTCATGTTAGCACGGCACATTCTGATTGTGCCGGCAAGGCCGCACCTTGTTTACCCTCCAGTAGTGCTTTAGTGTTTCTTTGTAGAGCCCTTGTGTTCTGCATCTGTCATGTGGTGTTCACAGTTGAGTCCTCCTGATGATAATGTCCTGAAGCAGCACAAGGAAGTTCTGCAAAAGGGCAGACATGGTGCACGAAAGACTACCATAGCTGTCACTACGGTAAGAGAGGGAAAAAAAGGATGGGCGCTGAGTTACTTCATCTGCATCTGGCCACGTATAGTTCTTTCTTATTCGTTGGATGTACTATGTTGCACATTCGCTATCTTCGTTCCCGGTAGTTGTATTTTGCCGTCAATTGTGAATGTAGATTCTGTATCAAGTTAGGTGGTGTTCTTCATGTGTTGTTTGTCTACGCAGAGCAAAGAAGATGACAGTGGCGATGTCGTGATCACAGAGGTGAGTTTTGCTGTCCATCAGTTGGAGTTGTTTTATTTTCTAGTTAAATTAAGCAGCCATGGCTCTTATTTTCTGGGACGGTGTTGAAGAGTTGTTTTGCGTCTTTGTTGCACTGTTGATTGGCATGTGCAGCAGCCTGAGGAGAATCAGAAGATTGGCATTGTGCGGTCATTGCTGGAGCTAGGCGATTGGCAGTGGACTGAGTGGATTCTGCTACGCCTGCCGCCGTTTGTCGCCACCAGTGATCCTACCGTGGCCAAGGCATTTTGCCAGCTGCTCCATGCCATTATTGAGCCCGTCTATCGGCCGTAAGTATGGTGGAAAAGCTATGTCACTTGTCAAACTGATTTGTTGATCAACGAATATGTTTAGCCTAAACTTGAGATATCTCATTTTGTGATCGAATACATGCTGTTAGTAGCAGAAGCACATGGCTAAGCCCATAATCATTCCTAACTGGTACAGAGGTGGAAGCTTAGGACAGGTACAGTTTGATTCAATGTAATGAGCAACTACACGTATAAACCCAATGCTAATTCTTGTGTGTGTGTGTGTGTGTGTATTTTTGCGTTTCTGTGTGCGTAGATTGGCACCAAAGCCTGCGCGTGGGCGTCGTTTGACAATCAAGTTACCGGCAAACAAGGAGGCTGCCCAGAACACTAACACCGTGTATCAGGCTCAGAGCATTGAGGATCTGAAGACGTTTGCGTTCCCCATGCTCACCCAACTAGGCCTTCACCTCTCGTCAGATCCAGTCTTGCTTGCGAAAATGTTGCGCATTGGTCGTGAATATCTCCAAAAGGTTGGTGTACCTTGCAGGACATGACTCCATGGACTGTATTATGTTACTACCTATGCCCAGGAAATGCAGTGGTACTTTGCTATATTGTTGCACGATGTTATAATCCAGAGAATAGCAACTGAAACCAGACAGTTTCATTTATGGGAGGGTGTGTTGAGGTCAGTTTCATTTGGAACATGTTTATATCATAGATCCACAGCATATGCGCAATTTTCTGATCAGTGCAGCGCAACAGTGTTTTTGTTTTGTTTGTGGCACTTGAATGAGTACACTTTTCTTGATGGCCATTGTGGTGGTCATGTTCATGCCTTCGTTAAGGTTTTTGCTTTGTTCTTGCCCCTGTGCAGCACTGGAGCCCAACTCCACACTTGGAGCAGTTCGTAAGTCTTTTCATTCAGACCCAGAGTTGAGTACCTGAGTGGGAGTGCGTGCATTCTAAATTTCTAATCCCAGCTTTTACGTACACTAGTAAAGCGTTACTGGTCTGTACGGAACTGTCGTACAGGTTCACATATCTTGAGATGCACTACAAGAGTGGTAGAGAAGTCCAAGTGCTATAATATTAGGCAGCAGCTGCGTAATGTACGCATGCTGTGCTGTTCTTGTCATTTGTGTGTGTGGCGAGCAAAGAATTGGGACTCTTTGGCATGAACTTGTACATGAGGATTTGTGAATGTGCACTGTTCACCACATCTAAGTCCAAGCCAAAGCCCGTGCTAAGTACGCGTATGTAGTTCAGTAGCAAGGATTGTTCTTTCCTGTGTTGTATTCCACCTGCAGCCATCAGACTCGATGGGTTTGACATGGTTGGATTGCCTCGATGAGGTCCTCTTGCCGTCATTATCCCTCCTTCCGTGCAACTGTAGTCTGGCCGAGGAAACGTGGTCCTTGTTGAAAACACTTCCATATCAGATTAGGTGAGCTGCTGTTGGTTGTTGTATCCATATATTATGTGATCTGAAAAAAATATGGCGTACGCTGGGCGATCATCCTAATAGTATTTTATGAGCTCAGTAGCCGGAATCAACGTCTACTGAAATTACATTTCATGAAACTGTGTAACTGAATCAGTGATGCCCACAGACTTTGTATTGTTCAGCGCATGTCCCAGAGCATTGGTCCCGCTACTAGATTGCTGTTCACATCTGATGCAATTGGACATGGTACCTGCTTATAAGTTAGTATATGTTCAATGTTCTTGTGTGCTTTCTTGCTGTGTATAATACCTTGTACTGTAGGTATCGTCTGTATGGTCAGTGGAAGAACTCATCGTACCTCAGTGATATGGTTATCCTGCAGGCACGTGCTACCACCATGGATAGAACACGTTATGTCATGAAGTAAGTGATCTTTTTTGCATCCTTATTCATCTGCCGTTCTGCTATGTTCACCCACTTTGCCTCTAGATCCCCAGTAACCATGTGTACTTCCTCTTCTTCCTTTGTTGTTGGTGATGGTGATGGTGGTGGTGGCGGTGGTGGTGGTGGTGGTGCTGCTGCTGCTGTTGCTGTTGCTGTTGCTGTCATTTAGCAAACAGTAACCTTTATTTAGGCATTGTTGGGAGCCGAAACTCGTCAAAGACCACCAGCCCTACTAACACATATACTGCATATAGTGGACTGCTTGGATGATCATAGTAGGCTCAACTAGGTTTGCTGACAACAGCAGCAGCAGCAGCAGCAGTTTCAATCCACGTCACCTAATCTTGTTTTTCTATTTCTGCTTTTTGCTTGTGCTCACAGGCGCTTGACCAAGGAGAGTGTGAAGCAGTCTGGCCGCCAGCTTGGCAAACTCAGCCACAGCAACCCAGGAATCGTCTTCGAATATGTGAGTCGTTGCTGTGGAGATGTTTATATTACTGACCGGGTGTATTTCGCTGCTTATTCGTCACTTTGGCCATCTTATCTGTTCATTACGTACTTGTTCATGTATGTGTGGAAGTTGTTTGGTACTGTTAATAGTAATGTTGTATTGCCTCTTTGTTTGTTTTTCTTCATGTGTCCTGTTGCTGCAGGTCCTGTCACAGATCCAGACGTACGACAACTTCATTGGACCTGTTGTTGATTCGCTCAAGTACTTAACACCATTGGCGTATGATGTTCTCTGCTGTATCCTCTAATAGCATGTCACTGCATTTTCAAGTAGGCAACGGATTTTACAGCCATGCTCAATACAGCTTTAAATAAGTTGGCACCCTGCGCCTGTGAACATCCCAGTACTTGTTGGTTTGAGGTTGCCCAGTCTATGATGATGTGGCTGCCCAGTCCTTGATGATGTCAGACTGCCCAGTGCCCGGCACAGCTGACTCACTCTATCTGGATTTTAACCAACTTCTGCTGTGCAGGCGGTGACTAATCAGTAGCCTTTGAAAGTTCAAATCTGGTGTCTGATGTCTATGATACTGTATCGTGCGTGGTTTGGGGATGGGGGGTGCTTTGATACACTCTGTATACAGATGATTTGTCACATATTGATGCTGTAGTTTACACTTTGGTTTTCAGTCTTTCAGAGTGGGTTTGCCTTGCCATGCAACTCTTAGTGTTGCTTTCCTTGACTAGCTGTGGCTGATGCAGATTGTTTGATTGAAGCATTGGCTAATCCTGATAAGGAGAAGCTCAAGCAAAAGGACACCAATCTTTCACAGTGGCTCCAAGGTTAGCTGTGCTCCGCGTGGAGGTGACCATTGACAAGCTTGTCTCTCGGAGAACTGGGCATTTTGCATGTGCATATCTGAAAACAACTGGAGGCTCTCAGTTTGTACATATGCATCTATGTGATGGAAAGAACAGGAAACCCTCAGTTTGTATCTGTACATGTACATGCAATAGACATGGTTGTTCAATGTATTACTTGACGTATTGCCCCACACCTGGTTCAACACATCGAAATGCAAAACGTGTCTGCTACTTCAAGTATGTCAACTGATTGCGTTTGCCCCATGTGTACATGTATACATGTGTGTGGGTGTGTGGGTGGGTGCATGCGTGTCGCCAGGCCTTGCTCTCTTCTCGGGTACGGTGTTCCGCAAGTACACCATTGAACTGACCGGTCTGCTGCAGTATGTTGCCAACCAGCTCAAGTCTGGCAAGAGGTAAGATGCCCGTGTTAGACTCTGTGCATGCCCGGCCAGTATATTACTGTTGCGGCAAATGAAAATCCCATCTTGCCACAGGCGACAGCGCCACGAATAAACTTCGATGATGCTGTGCAGAGAGCGTGTACAGCAAAGCCGTATGGATCCTAAGCAAGCCAGGCGTATGCCTTGGTCCGCAGAAGTATCATCATCCAGTGCCAACTTGGTATTTTTTACTGTTTTAGCACTCTCGAATTTTTTGGTGCTCCTTGAATGTTACACATTTTGTGACGAGTGTGAATACTATGGTAGACAGATGTAAGTTGCACGTACTAGTACTGTACTTGGAGGTAATACCTGTTCTATGTGTCTAGGGCTGCATGGGCTTGTTGCTGTATGGTGTGGTGTCTTATAGCAAGTGTTGGCTTTTACTTGCCACCACTACAGTAGTCTTTTTCTAGAACGTTTTTCCATCTTATCGGAAAAGAAAACTGTTGGTCACCTACACTACATGGTAAGTGGCCATTATTACCCTTATGCGTTACTAGCGCCATTTGTACGCATGCATCACCGTATTAATTTTGTTATTCTTTCTGTGTGTGCATGTGTGTGTGTGGTGGTGTGCGTGCATGCACGTCTGTCTGTCTTTGAACTGTTCAGTTTTGATTTACTAGTCTTGAAGGAAGTTGTCAATAAGATGTCTGGCATCGAACTCATGGAAGAAGTCACGCAGTCCCAATTGCAAGCCCTTGCCGGCGGAGAAATGCTCCGAGCTGAGGTACAGATCTGTGCACACCTTGCATTTCGAGAGTTGAACATTTTCACTGGATGTCCGCTACCTGCTCTTTCACAGTTACGCTGTACTGTAATCAAACTTGTTTGTTCCATGAAATATTATATTTGTTTAATAAGGCAATAAGCAGAATCAGCGAAGCGGACATTGGACGTAGTCATGAACAAAAATAAAAGATGGATAAAAAGTTTCCGAACACGTTTTCTAGAGACATTCATCAGGGAAAATACGTCTCAATACTGAAATCTAGCAATACACAACGATATTATACGTGGAAGAGTACGAAATGCAGTATGTGAGAAGTGTGAACTAATAACATGGGTGGGCAGGTGAGAAATAATAACAATGTGAAACTCAGAGAGGGTGAAGTGTAAGGAGTCACTAAACTTAGACTATTCTCTTAGCATTCACACACACATACACCCACCCACATACCCATGTACTCCTTACACTTCACCCTCTCTGAGTCTCACATTGTTATTATTTCTCACCTGCCCACCCCTGTTATTAGTTCACACTTCTCTTGTCTTTCGCACTTCACCTTCTTCTCTCCTATTTTCTTTCACATACTGCATTTCGTACTCTTCCACGTATATATCGTTGTTTATTGCTAGATTTCAGTATTGAGACGTATTTTCCCTGACGAATGTCTCTAGAAAACATGTTCGGAAACTTTTTATAACTTTTGTATTCATCTTTTATTTTTGTTCCTGACTACGAGGTGATTTGGCTTTTTTTAACATTTGGCATTTTTTAACAAATGTGTAAAATTTGCTTTTCTTCTGGCTGTTTCTCTGCTCCGGATGGCTGTATCGAAACATGGGTGGTGGCAAATGAGAGCCAGTTTATCGTAGATGAACATTGACCAGAAATTTTGGTGCATATAATTTAATTCTCCTTTGACACGTCGGTATAACTAGTGGTGGGTGCTTTGCCATTTTGTGTAAAATGTGTAAAATGAGCCCCTGAATGGACGAGGAGGGCAGTGAATTGCTTCCGCAGGGCCTTTGGACGACGTCAGGCCGTCTTGCCATCACTAAAGACAGTAATGAAGAACAGAAGGTCAATGAAAACACTCTGTGAGCACGAAAACATGGCTGCGATGCTATGCTACCTATCCAATTCCACCGTATAACACAGCCACTAGTTACAAATACAAAAACACGGCTTTCGCAGCATACAATGCAGTTCACTCCTCTGTTGACAGATTATTTTTCATCCACTAGCAATCCTTGAAGTGATATCTATCAACTTCAGAACATTGATGACCGACTATCCCAGTTTGTGATGCCATTTTACAAATTTGTTAAAAAATGACACACCAATTATTTGAATCCTGAGAATGCTATGAAAGTAGGACATGATTCAAGACACTTTCCAAAGTGGGATCATTCCCATTTTTGGACACAACGGCCATAAAGGATAGCACTTCCACTTGCAACAATTCATTTGGACGTAGCTTGTCTAGAAGTGACTGAAAAAACGTCATTTTACAACCATTTTAAAAAAGCCAAATCACCTCGTACGTCCAATGTCCGCTTAGCTGATTCTGCTTATTGCCTTATTAAAGTTATTGTCTCCGTGCCGATTATATTTGTTATATGTTGGCGAATTTGCCTTCATCAGATTTCCAACTATGTACAAGCTCACAAACGAGAATTAGTGTAGTATAGTTCTTGGCTAAAGCTGCTGCGTTATTGTACTTGCTGCTAGATGCTAGCAAACAGTGCAGACTGGAAATAGACTAGTACCTGCGTCACCATACAATGGCAGATTCAAGTGCAAGCTGTGGTGTAAGATGTCTTCTATCAGCAAAGGTATTGGTAGCTGTTTCTAATTCTACCTATATTACTGCATCATTGCATTGGCACCAAGGCTGTTGTTGGTACGTACGTGTGGTCAGACTGCACATCCTTCCTGTGCTAGGCTTTGTTATTCTATAACCGCGCATCATCCCGTCTTGAATCCCTCTTTTCGTTGATGTGGTGAACCGTTCTGCAGGGTGGCTATTTCAATCAAGTAAGGAACACAAAGAAGTCGTCACAGCGTCTGCGCGAGGCTCTAATGGAGTCGGCGCTGGGTGTACCTCTGTGCATTCTCATAGCACAGCAGCGGCAGAGCGTGGTCTTTGTGGAAGCCAGCAGCTGCCACTTGAAGCTGCTAGGCAAGCTCTATGATCAGGTATGGATCCGGTGTTTGTTGGCAGTTGTCATATTGGTTTTTCTGTCAAGCATTCGCTCTTGTGTTCCTGTCTCAACTGAATGCTTTGCTGTTTCTTGTGCTTATTGGCCATGTGAACATGCAATAGTAAGTTCCCTTCCTTGCTGTGTGTGTGTGTGTGTGTGTGTGTGTGTGTGTGTGTTTGCTTGTGTATTTCTTTCCCACAGTGTCAGGACACTCTGGTCCAGTTTGGTGGCTTCCTGGCCACGTCTCTGTTGCCGCAGGATTATGGCAGCAAGTTTCCGCCATTTGATGACCTTGTTCGCAAATATTTCCTCCAAGTGGACACGGCATTTTTCTTGGAGCGACCCCGCTTGTCCAACAACATTAATGTGAGTGGAGGATACGTGCAAAAAAGTGCCAGTATTAATATTTGATCAGATTCCTTGGCTTGTCCTTCGTCTCATGAAGTGTACTTCATTCAAGTTCTACTGTTTTTGTTCCGCTTTGTTTCCTTGCGTTGTGATGAAATTGCAATTCTGGGTGTGTACGGGTGCATATTTGATTTTTCCTTTGCTTATGCTTGTATATTGCAGGCTCGTATTGAAGGTCAACGACGTGCCGGAAAGAATGGACCAGATTTTGGCAAAACCGATGTAAGTGCAGTGATGGTCCTCATCATGTATTCCCACCGCTGGCTGCTGTTCCTTTCCTGCTTCCATCTGGTATTTTCTATTTTCTTGATATTTCAACGGAGTTGTTTCCTTTTCCGTGTTGCCTGTTTGTTTTTTTGCCTCCTGCTCCTGTGTACACGCACTTGTCCTGGGTGCCGCAGAGCAGCAGCATGGCGAGGTTTTCTAGTGCAGGTGTGTGATTCTTGTTGTTGTGCCACGATGTGTTTCTGGGTTGCACGTGTTCAGCTGGAGCTGGTCGAGGCAGAAATGAAGACTTTGGTCGATCGGGTGAGGACGGTGAACGTGTGCAAGGAGATCTCGTAAGTGTTTGCATTGCTGAATAGCATGTGTACAGTAAGTGTTTGTATTGCTGAATAGCATGTGTACTGTGAGTGTTTGTATTGCTGAATAGCATGTGCACTGTGAGTGTTTGTATTGCTGAATAGCATGTGCACTGTGAGTGTTTGTATTGCTGAATAGCATGTGTACTGTGAGTGTTTGTATTGCTGAATAGCATGTGTACTGTAAGTGTTTGCATTGCTGAGTAGCATGTGTACTGTAAGTGTTTGTATTGCTGAATAGCATGTGTACTCTATGTGTTTGCATTGCTGAATAGCATGTGTACTGTGATGCCATGCACACCCGCTACACTGGTGTGCAGACTAACCTAAATACTGTAAATAGTAAATACTTGGAAGTAGTAAATACTAGCTACTGGAAGGAGAGTGCAACAAGGCTCTGATCATGAGTGTGACTGGCCACTGTTCTTAGCTACCTGCAGTACTGGCACTGAACGATATCAGCAGCAGTTTGCATCAGTTGTTCTTGCTACAACCATCTTGTTTATCCATGTTGTACTGATATTGTGCCTGCATGAATGTGTGTGTGTGTGTGTGTGTGTGTGTGTGTGTGTGTGTGTGTGTGTGTGTGTGTGTGTGTGCATGCGCGCACTTATGTGTGCTCATGTGTGTTTTATTTGCCTCTTTACCAGTGTTCATCTCTTCACCACGTTTTGGAGCCTGTCTCTGTATGACATCTGGGTACCTGAGGCTCGGTACCAGGAGGAAATTAGTCGGCAGGAACAAGCACTGCAGGAGCTTGACAGCAACTCTGAGCTGGTAAATACATGTACATGTGACACATTGTGTGCATTGTGCTTTGCTGGGGTACTTCTTTCCTACAGTGTGCTGTACCAATGTACTTCTCTAGCCATATACGCATTATTGTGATGCAACACTTCTTGGCACGAGTTTGCGTAGCGTACATGCTCAAGCTAAGTTGTTATTTGCTCATCCATGCTCATGTGGAAATTGTATTAAGAAAAAAAACCCGTTGTCTTTATTGTACGTGAACATTGTGGTGGGCGGTTGTTTGTGAAGTGTGTTTCATGTTCCAGTAGTTGCGCACTATGTAACTTGCATGCACACATCTACACCCATGCTTGACCCATTCCCACATGTGCATGTCAACTGTATTGACACTGCTCTGTATCGGGTATATCTCTTGCAGAATGCCAGCAAACGTAAGAAGGAGAAAGATCGAGGGGACACGATGATCAAGAGGCTTGGCGAGGAGATGGCTCGCCAGAAGGATCAGCATCGTCGCATCATGAACTGGCTAGAACCGGCCAGCAAGACCTGGTTCAAGAACAGTAAGGCATCCTGCTTACCGGCTGTGCTAAAGTGTCATCATGCCACTACTTATGAGAAGGTCCCTGGTTCTAGTCCTGGTGGTGACAGTCAAATTTTTCTTCAGACTTTTCCCTTTTCCATTCCCTCAACTAGCGAATAACACTACTTTGTAGGATATTGTCATATTGGTGTGAGGTTGGAATAGCTAACTCAACCGCCATACGTAGTTTTCGAATCACGTAGCTGCCCTTGGCAACTCGGAACACGGCAGTGTACGACCGGGTCGACCTGGGGAGTGAGTCATAAATGTGTACCCCAATCCGCTTACAGAGCACCTCCGTTTGTCAGAGCCCTATCTACGTACTCTATGTAGACAACTTTCCGTAAGTGGAGTGCAAACTCGTGAAATCACGGGTTTTTCCCACCCACTAAAGTAAAGTTGCTCAACTTTACGTAGTTTGGAACCTCTGTATTATTTATCATGACACGTACTTAAAATAAAGGTACATAGCTCTGTTTGCAAGAATGCGTGTTTTGGATTGAGATCTGGACAGTTCACTCTTGACTACCTGAGCAAGTGTAGACGTCTGAATTTGTGCCCCCGATTTCTTACATGAGTTGCATTCGGTGTTATTCTGCTCATCTGCAGTCGCTTCGGCCAAGAGCCGTATGGCAACACAGTTCTTCCAACAGTGTGCCTTCCCGCGCTGTTGCTTTACTGCCATGGATGCTGTTTACTGCGCTAAGTTCATCCAGATCATGCATCAGCTGAAGACACCTCACTTCTCGACCCTCCTCTTTTACGATCGCGTAAGTCCATGTCATGAAGTGGGCACATTAACACAAGCTTGTCTTTCAGCTGACTGTAGTCTTTTGTGGTGGGTGTTGTATTGCATGTAGTATTTGTTTGGTTCTTCTTCCTTGTGCAGCTTCTTATCATAATCCATCTTGGTTTCTTGCTGCCCCTTCTAATCCTCGTGGCTGCAGGTGTTTGCTGACCAGTCAGTGTCGCTTGCTGTTGCTTCGTGTACCGAGAATGAAGCGAGCCGTTATGGTAAAGTGTTATGTCGTTATGGCCGGGGTGTTCTGGTTGGTGTTTTTGTGTGAAGCGGATGCATGCACCTACTCGTATCTGACATGCTGTGTGAATGAATTCAAAAAATGAGTGCCTCGGCCACTTTTGTGCCTACATGCGTGTTCATGCATGTGCTCCAATGGTTGCTTTTTAAATGTTGAGCATGACTATTTGAACTGGTTGTGTACGGTGGCCACTTTCTGCTACAGGTCGCTTCCTGTGTTGTCTGCTGGAGGAGATCTCTGACTGGCATAAGTCTGAGGAAAGCTACCTCAAGGTAAGAGAGCTTTGCAGGAGTTTGAATGGGGAGAATTGAAAATTGAATTGTTCGACAAGGCACTGCAATTGTTAACCAGTTTCATCCAAACCTACCCGTTACGTACCGCACTGTAACCGTCCTGGTGTGTGACCACTATGTATGGCTGTGCACTGTTCAGAACTGCCACATGTTTCCAGGCTTCATCTCCGGTGTGCGCAACGATGGTGTGGTACACCTTGATTACAAGGACTTCCGCCACATCTGCTTCAAATGGCATTACAAGATGACCAAGGTAGGTCTGGCTGAAACACGTTTGGGCACTCCTCTCCACTCAGTGTTGTGGGAAAGTGAACACTCATGCATTAATGATACATATGTTTACTAGTGTACAATCACGCAGCCTACTGCGTACAGGCGTGCTCATATGCTATACTGATAGGTAGTCTATTTAGTGATTTGAAGTTTGTGTTATGGTGACTGTTTCGATTTTGTTGGTTTTTTGTTTCTGTCTATGGTGCAATCATTTGCATACAGGCCATGTTGGCTTGTTTGGAATCCAAGGACTACAATCAAATCCGCAATGCTATCTTGGTACTGATAAAGGTGAGTGAAGGGGAGAAAAAGAGAGAGCGATGGGAGGAGGGGATGAGGGGATGGATATTCTGCTTTCACTTTAGCTGTAGGAGCTCTTTGGTCCTATCTGTTTTATGAGTATAATGACTGTTGCATGCAGTTTTCTTCTCCTATTGTCTGATTTCAGCTTTGACTTGCTCTTCTCTACACCTATCCCATTGTTGTGTTGATATGCCACATCACAATGTGTTGCCGCGCGCGCGCGTGTGTGTGTCTGTGTGTGGTGTAGATTCTGCCATACTTCCCAGTTGTTTTGAGTCTTGGCTCTGCACTGGAGAAGCGCATTGAAAACTTGCGTGAAGCTGAGAAGGGTGAACGAGAGGACTTGGCTGCTCTGGCTAACAGCTACTTTGGCAACCTGCGCACGCGCAAGTCGACATTTATTCCTGAATCCCAGTTCCACAACAAGGAGGACCGCGATAAGGTATGCTTTGGTCCTTTTTCTTTTCTTGTCGATTTATCAGCACTGTAAAATTGGATACAGTTCCACGGTTATGTTGCTTGCCTTATCTGTTTTTGATACTAAATCATAGCAGCTGTCATTGTGATGCCCTTGGCAAACAAGTCGTAATTTGCTGTGTGTGTCTGTTGTATTCATGCAGAAATCACAAGACCCTGAGCAAAAGAAGTCATCTGTAAGCCATTGTTGGTTCTACCTGCCACTGCGACTTTTATGTATTGTTTGAAATTTTGAATGCCGGTGGGCTTTCTATCTGCACATGCAGTGCCAGTAAATGTGTGGGTGTTTCTACTTGGTACATCTGCTTCCCATCTGTCCACCTCTTCAAGTTCTCATAGTGCAATTGTTTCTGTTTGTTTTGTGATATTTCAGGGCTCTGATGCTGATTCATCTTCTACGGGTAAGAGTTTGCCTTGTTTTTGAGAGCATCTTGCCGAAGTTGTCGTGGCTAGAAACGTAGCTAGATTAATGTTACATGTGCATAGACCATGACTTTCTGAACAGTTGAGTGTCTTGAAATGGAGCTTAGTTGTTTGCAACTGTTTGTGTCCCTAAAGGTGCTGTCCTTTTCTGTTCTTCTGTTTACTACTGCATGTAGGTGATCGCTCACGATCAGGTGCTGGGTGAGTTAGACCAGTTTTCTTCGAGCGTCTGCTGTGTTTCGTATGTGATTAGTAGTAGTGGTGTACTTGAAGTAGCTAGAGCCGCTGTACCAGTACCATGCCTTGATGTTGTTTGGCCTAATGCTGTTGTATACTACTGGTCTCTCTCACTCTCACTCTCTCTCTCTCTCTCACTCTCTCTCTCTCTCTCTCTCTCTCTCTCAATCTTTCTGTCTTTCTCTCTTCCTTCCTGTCTTCCAATCCATTTGTCTAGCCTGGATTTGTCCTAGGTTGTCATGAGTTGCTGCACTGCAATTTGACTGCATACATATAATTATGCTGATGGGCCTATTTATTTTGTTTCTGTTTTCCCTAGTTCATCTGAGTCTAGCAGCAAAGCCCAGAGCAGTGGACCATCACGGAGTTCACCTGACCCGTCTAAATCATCTTCGTCGCATTCTGCTTCAGCCTCCCTGTCTGCTCGTCCCTCTTCCAGCACTGGAGCTCCGTCCTCTTCTTCCTCTGGCAGTACTACTTCATCCTCGGCACCGCGCTCCACCAACTCGCAAGCCAAGGCTGCATCAACGTCATCTACTAATCGCCCATCACCATCTAGTAGTCACGAGCGCAGCAGCTCTAAAGATTCTAAGGCGGACAGCAAGTCGAGGGACACTGCCAGTAGTACCAGCAGCAAGTCATCATCGGCGTTGTCCACTGCCACCACCAGCAGCAGCAGCAAGACTGGCGCGAGGTTAGCATGGCCAGTAATGCCTATCAGTATATGGAATGTCACCTCCTGCCTGCTCGGTTGCTTGCGTTGCCTTTCAATTACCCACACGTGTGCATTTTGGGTGTGCATGTTTTCTGCCAGTCCTGTCTTTTTTCTACAGTTGGGTCAAAGTAACCTGACCCCATTCCTAGCTAACTGCATCGTGTCCAGGCTCACATGCAGCATCAACCCGCATGCATGCCCCCACTTTGTCTCTAAGTGTTTGATGACCTTGTCAGGTGCATGCTTTTGCTAACGTATGTTCGAGTAATCTCTGCCTGCTTGTGTGCACTTTATCTCCAGTGGACAATCACCATCTGCACGTGATCGTTCTGAAAAGGCAGATGGTAGTTCGCCCTCCCCAGCATCATCATCTTCGACTGTGGTAGCTGCCAAGAAAACCAAACAACCATCAAGTCGCGATGAGGAAAAAGGTATGTCGATTCCTATGAGCATCAGCTGTTCTCCTGCACATTTCACCTCATAGCCAGCAATCGCATGTCATCACGTACATTCAAAATCAACATAATTATGCTAATCGACCTTTTTTTCAGCATCACTTTTCAACGAGGACGAAGCAAAGTCGGCCGAACGAAGCCCAGAGGAAGAAAATCACCCTCTCCACTTCACCATCACGATACTGACATAGATACGAGACGAAACAACTAAACCATCCACAAGAAAACTGTACGGCCATCTTCGCGCTGACTTTGGGGTCTGAGAATTTCTATCACGATCAAAATTGTACGAGGAGCACTCAAAATATGCTACAGACGTACCTTTATCACTCTCTACTCCTTTTTCAAGGCACAAAAGTCGACTCTCCACTTTCAAACCAGCAACCAGACATACCAGTGGTCCTTTTCAGCTGCTCCACGAGCGCAGGAAATGTTCATGGTATCGGCAATGGGATTGTCAGATTGATTGGCTGGTGTCTTTCTGTTTGTCCTTTCTCCTTTCTTTGCTCTCCTGACAAGATGCTAAGAGGCGAAAAATAGAGAAGGTTAGTTATGCCCTGCTCTTGTGATCAACAACTTGCAGTTGAAGAGATCACCTATTAGTACCTTTACCAACTCTGCAGTATTGTGTCTATTCAAGATCGATGTTGTGATAGATATTGTAGTGTGATGAGTGCCTTACTAAAAGTGGGACACTAACAAATTAATGAATCTGCTGCCGGTCCTAAGTTTGTATGGCCGGAGAGCGCATGTGATTGGACTTGCGTAGTCTGGGGTTATGTAATGATTGGACTTAAGTAGTCTGGGGTTATGTAATGGTATAGGCGTTAAGTAGTCTGGGGTTATGTAATGGTATAGGCGACGTTTTCTACTTGATCGCATTCTCCCGTTGCTTTCTCTTACACCTGTCTTGCTGCTGGCCAGCCTTACTGTATCTTGACACTGAATGACATCAGCAATGGATTGCAGTATCCAGAGCCCATACGCAGACGTGCACACTCTGGTTTAATGCACTGCTAAACTTCCATCTTTACAAGCGCTAAACCTTGGACGGTGTCATGCTCTTTGCCGTCTTCTTGAGTGTGTTCGTGCATTTGTGTGCCTCTCCTTTATTCAGGAAGAGAGTGCTGCTGAGGCTGGTGATCGAAAGGTATGACTATGTGTCTTGGCATGTGTGCACATTTGGTGTTGCACTGGATGACTTGTGCGTTCCTACAATCATGTTTCTTCTTCCATTACTTGCAGAGTGATTTCTCTTTCGTATTGCCATTGTTCTGCTCTACTTAGCAAAAGTTAGCATAGCAGTTTGGATTGTGTTGGATTGTGTTTTGTGGCTGCTGTAGAAGGACAAGGAGCGGGAGAAAAGTAGAGATCGTGAAAGGGCTGAGGACAAAGTAAAGAGTGAGCGCAAGCGGGTACGTTTTAACTTCTAATCTTTTCTGGGTTTTTTCTCTTTTGATGTTTTGTGGCTTTTGTGCGTTGTGAAAGATTGTACATAAGTGTGGCTAGCTCCAGTTCTCTGTAGAATGATCGTATGTGACTTTAAACAACTTCTGTCTGGCATTGTTGTGTTGATGTGTATTGGCAGGAGCGCGATGATAGCGCAGATGCAGAGCGCGAAAGCAAACGCCATCGTTCGGATGAGGGTATGCCCCTTTTTATATTACCTAGTTCTGTGAGGCATGTGTGTGTTTCACGCTCAACTGCAGTAGCAGCTCGAGCGGGTTGCTCTTGGGTGCACTGCTTACCATGTCTGCTATGTTCATGCATTTTCACTTTATTTAGGTGTGCTGTTAACCCTTTACCATCCGTGTGTACTTGAATCGATCTCTAGAGATCGATGGACACGCATACACTGAAACATTCGTAACTCGATCGATTCTTTGCGGAATTAAAAAAACTAAGTATCTAAGAAGAAGCCGAAGAGCCCAGCTTTCCATTGCATCAATCGGTGAAGAGCTGCGATGTCGCATTCCAAAGATATGACGCTCGACATTTCAGCCACGGCAAAAATCGAATTTCTTTCCGAGTGACAGACCTTGAGCGGGGATTTTCCCCTCTCCTGGCATGCTGAGTCACTTTGGCATGCTTTGAGCGCGTGGGCAGCATGAAAAGAAACTCAAGCAAAACATTTGGAATGTTTACGATGAAGGAGCGAGAAATGGCTGGCGAGGAGAGAATTTCCTCGTATATCCAGCGATGGGTTGTATTTGAAGCTCCCTGGCGCTGGGTATGTGATCTCGGTTGTGTCCTGTTTGAGCTCAATGTACGCAGCTCGTGGAGAGCTTTCCAGAATGCCCAAGATTGCGAAAATTGGTTGACTAGAACCGAAGATATTCTCAGAATACGGTGAGACAAATTGCATTTGGGACTGCTGGGGAATTTAGGTCGGATGGTAAAGGGTTAATGTGGCATTGTGTACCACCTGCGTTCCATGCTGTAGGTTCAAAGAGCCACGGCAGTGGTGGCACCTCTACCAGTGCCAGCAGTTCCTCTAAACACGACGCGGGTGATGATCGGCATGACAAGCGACGCTCTGAGAAACTAGAAGACCGACACAAGGTATCTTCAAGCGATGCTGACAAGAAATCCTCCGACAAGAAAGAAGAGAAGACAAGCAACAACAGTGGTGCCGGGAGTAGTAGTAGTCGATCTGCCAAGTCCCCAGCCTCCTCGACTAATGGAACCAGTGCTAGCTCAACTAGCAACGCTGCAGATAAGGTGAGAGCTGTGACCTCAAGCACCTACCTATATTTGGCATGCTTTTTCGTACCGTATGTCCGCACCTTTAAAGCCATGGCGGTATATTCGATTATAACGCCAGTCTCAGTTATAAAGCCATGGCTTCAAACTTCCAGCCCAGCAGAAGGGTGAACAAGTGGATGTAGATTGAAATTTCAGTGTGTACTTTGACAGCATGGCGTAGTGGGTGAGTCATTTTGCATCTAAAATTGAAAATAGGCAGATGTGTGTGTGTATTCTTGATCTATGCTGGTTGGTGTTTGCTTGTGGTACATAGTGTTGACTGTTGAGTGTAACTTGTTATACTGCACACACACACACACGCACGCACGCACCCACACACACACACACACACACACACACACACACACACACACACACACACACACACACACACACACACACACACACACTGTGATTATATAAGGTCAGGGCCTGCTGGAGAGCCGGGTCAGCCGGGTCACGCGCCCGGCTGGGGAACTGCACGACCTGGCTGAACAGATAACACCGGGTCCAGTCTGACCCGGGTGAAAAATGTCTGAAACTGACAATGGATTCCTAAAATACTGGTATTTTACGACTCGCGGACCCCATCTGTTGCAAATCTAGCGCAACCGTACACAGGTACACACTACAGTCTACAAGCGACAGAAACTCGGCTAGGGTCAACTGGGGTCAACTGCTTCGAGCGCGATCTGGCCAGTGGCGAGCAGGAAGTTAGTCGATGGGGCAGGCAGTCAAAAGCGTAACTTTGGCTGTAGCTTTTGACACAGTTGCAAGTTTTCAGCCGACTGGTGATTTGGACGATGGAGCCCGCAGCTAAAGAACTCTCGCTTTCCAAGACTCTTGGAAGAAAGGTTCTCACTGCTTCGAATTATCGGCATGCTGCTCGGCTCCACCCTAGCTTTCGACATCCGCTCAAGTAATCTGCAGGCACCCCCAGTGCTCTATTATGTGAACATGTTCGTCCTGCTACTGGCACTAATTAGAAAACAGAATTCCTTTTTTTCAAATTGTTAAATCAGAATCCAATGGAACTGCTTTGCATTCTTCACGTAATGTTGTTTACCTTTTACGTTTGCGGACTTTGATAGTTCGCCTTGTTCTCTAAAATTTCCAATTTCCGGTAATACATTCGCCTTTCTGTTTTCCTGCATTTTGAGCAGGCTTTTTGGTTGTTTTTCTGCCAAATGATCTGACCCGGCTTGACCCGGCTGGCCTGCATGCGCCAGGTACACTCTGACCGGGCTGTGTGAATGTCTAGAGCAGGCCCTGAAGGTATGTATACTCTACATGTACCTGTCTTTGTTTCAGGGTCGCTCCAGTAGCACTGCTACTAGCAAGAAAGATGATCGCAAAGATGATCGTAAAGATGATCGCAAGGATAAAGAGAAGGAGAAGGAGAAAGACAAATAATATCCTCTCTTCGTTAACATTATTTTTCTAAACGAATGTATGTGTTTGGTGTGTCCATTGTTTTGTTTTGTTCGGGATGACTTATGACCAGGGCTACATGACCAGTGCAAGTAGGTGCTTACTCTTACTGGTTTCTGTCATAACTGTGCTACATGACCAGTAGGTGCTTACTCTTACTGGTTTCAGTCAGAACTGTGCTACATGACCAGTAGGTGCTTACTCTTACTGGTTTCAGTCAGAACTGTGCTACATGACCAGTGCAAGTAGGTGCTTACTCTTACTGGTTTCAGTCAGAACTGTGCTATCGCCTGGTAGAGTCTGGTCTTAGTGATCTATATGGTGATGTACTATTGCAGTTTTACTTCCCCACTATGCCTGGGCCAGTGATGTGGAATAGAAGCGGTGTTACTTATACTAGGCGTATGGGGTGTGCTGGGTGCAACGTTCCACTTTCGAGCGTGCCAAGCTACTTCTAAGTGGGCTATTGAGTACATATACTAGAAAGGAAAGCTGGCATAAAGAAAACACGCTCTTTCTCACACTGACACCCAATCCTCTTCGTATTCAATTTCCACTGCACTTGGAAGACTTTTCAGCTCTGGCCTAACCTACAGTGTAGATAGAGAGGATGTAAAGTTTCCAGCGGCCTTCTACACCCACACGGACAAACACCACACCTACGAACAACAAACCGCTCTCTATGGAAACCATGAGTCCTTGACACGCTTTAGAGCTTCAAGTTTCCGAGCAAACACCCCCGTCTTCCTGATGTACTCATTTCACCCCTACCTATAATTGTTTAGTGTAGGGCTACCATCCCTTGGGTACATTGCTCCGTATGCCCATGAATACAATGCATGCAGATAACACTGGTGTGTCGATATGTTGACTGGTTGCTATCCTTGACTGGTGTCTGCACTAAGACTCAGCGATCTCGCCATGGCTAGGTGTAGCGACTGCTTCAACGTCCTAAGACTCGGCGATCTCGCCATGGCTAGGTGTAGCGACTGCTTCAACGTCGTCATCTATGCTTCCCGTAGTCAGCACTGTATTCCGAGTCAGTTCTCCTATCCTGTTGAGAAACCCACCGCCTGGAAGCTTGACTCAGCTTCTTTGATTTGCTGCACTGTCCCACCATTGCTATTTGTATCCTAGTGCGTAGTGACGCATGTTCTACTTGTATTCTGGCGTTGTTAACTCGTCAATTTCCGTCCGTGACTCATGCTGTGCATTGATTTGATGTTGCTCCATCCTTTGTTTCTTTTCTCTTATCCCTGTCATCTTTCACTTGCTGCAAACTGCACGGCAATGCACACTGTATGTACACACACAGGGTTGGAGGCTGGCATTGTGATTGTGGCCGTTCTTCTTCACAATCACACTTTGCCAATCAACCCAAACCTGTTCCCTTGGTTCGTGAACATTTTTTATTATCATTTTATATTTACATGCTACTAGGTTTTCAAGAACAAAGACATGAGAGTCCAGCTGAGAGAAGCTGGGCAAGCGTGTCTATTACTGTCATATGACAGTTGGTGATGATTGCTAGTATCATAGTAATAATGATGTTCAAACTTCAAAGTCATGTTGTGTGACCAGTGAAGTGTGGAATGCAGGTATGTGTCGCCCTGATATCAAGGTGAGCACAAGAGAGCCCTTTGAAATTGACATTCAACAACCAGTATGATATCAAGCAGTATGATATCAACCAGTATGATATCAAGCAGTATGATATCAACTAGTATGATATCAACCAGTATGATATCAACCAGTATGATATCAACCAGTATGATATCAAGCAGTATGATATCAAGCAGTATGATATCAAGCAGTATGAACATACATGTAGTACAATCTTATATTTGATAATATAAAACTAAAATAACATCTTCAACAATGCTACTTGTAGAACAGCGGTGATAGTAATAATAATGAAGTTTCTTGCTGGCAAGATCCAATCTTATAATTGTGCCACTCAGGCAGCAGACAGCAGCAGCAGCTTGCAACCAGACATCTATTTCTTCTTCTTTCCCTTCTTTCCCTTCTTGCCTTTCTTGCCCTTTCCACCCGCACCACCGTCATCTCCATCTCCCTTCATCGCCTTCAGTCTCTTCTTACCAAGCGGTGTCTTTTCAAACCAAGTCTGAAGAAACATAAAACACAAAACAGAATGATATTCTCAATGATCTGGACTTTTATTTTTATTCCTTTTTGCAACGCGACACCCGCAGCGACCTGCAACCGGGACACACGCTTCACTGTCTTTCTTGGTTACAGCGAAATCCCTATGCAGAGTGCATGCACATGTATTATGCACATGCATTGTACGTACTTCGAGTTTGAAGTACAGTCGAGTCATGTACCCAGGGTAGACAACTGTACTCCATTTACATTAATTTTTTTATGACTTTAATGTAGATCTACATCGCACATTTTGCAAAAGTTGAACTTGGTCAACGACAGCGACTATCAGACCTCGCTTATCCGGACCCCTCGCCATCCGGAAGAAAATCGGTGGTTACCGATTTGCAGCCTGTGGCATGCATACATACAGTACCGTAGCTATATACGTAGAATCGCGCGGATAAGCCCATGGGCTGATCTGTTTCAAGTAAGGCCATTTCGGTGGGCTTATACGAGAACATGGGCTTATACGCTGACACCGACAGTGTGCTATTGAAAAGTACCAAGGAAGTGAGAAACACATTGCTGAAAGCCACCGTGCAAACAAAAACAACCAATGATTGTGTTGAAATGTACAAAAAAAAACACAACAAAAAAACTTACATGTACTACCTACATTTACATGGTACTGTACGACCAAGGCCCATGGGCTTGTATGACGAAGCCTTGTGATGTTCGAACTTTCCTTGGGCTTATCTGTCCCCTTGGAAAAACGCGATTCCACGGCCGCGGCAAATTTCGCAGAAGTTGCCATCATCCGCGGAAATCACGGAATCCACACTTTGCCCGGGGAATCTGAATTTTTTAGGGTAAATTACTAAAATTACTACTCAGAAAGCAGCAGAAAAACTACTTTGCGATCTTTTTGAGCACATTTCTCTTGCCAGTGCAGGTCTCTCCAAGATTCTTCACTCTCATTCAGTTTGTGACTGCAAAGGATAGTATGAAAAGTGCTCCTTCATGCGACTAGTTGTCATATCCTCTACGAGGAGGGTAAAAAACTTGCAGAAAGTGCCGCAGATTTTCGATTTTTCCGCAGAAAATGCCGCAGCAAACCCCCCCTTTCCCCCGCGGAATTTTCCGCGGAATTTTGAATTCTTGGCCGCGTTTTTCCAAAGGGACAGGCTTATATGCGGGTGGGCTTATCCGCGGAATTCTACGGTATGTGTGTTCCACTATCCGGTTCCCTCGCCGATCCGGATATTTTTTTGTGGAAAACGGATGTGTGCGGTTAAAAGCGAGGTCTGACTGTATTGTGAATGGGCCATTAGTGGGCAACATCGTCCCCCAAAATGCCAGTTCCTGTTGGTCGTGTCAAAGCACATGTCTTGTCTTCGCAATGACTTCTTTCCCTGGCAGGAATAACACACACTCTCTCTCTAATGCCCGGTTTACGCTTCATTTCGTGCACGGGTAACACTTTGGGCGATGAGCCAAACAAGTTGAACTCGAGGAAACTTTCCGCTGCAATGGTCATTGAGACACGCTTCCCGTACAAGAAATGAAGTATGAGTCGAGCCTAGACCTGTTGTAAGATAGAAATACACCGTGCCTAAATAATTATTAATTTTTTACTCTGCTGAATATTTCTTGATAACCAGTAGGCTGCTGTGAGTACAAATGCACTGTGGGTTTATATTCTGACATTGGGTTATAACTTATAGGCTGACCTTGAACTGTATCTCTTCTTCCTTGTACACTGGCTCCAGCTTGGCTAAGGCTGGAATGAACTCTGATGCTTCCAGGGGCTTCTTGTGCAGCTATGGCAGAGAGAGGCAGACAGACATAAACACAGGTGTTGTAGTTGAACCCCCCGACGACACAGGAAGTCTCGAGAAGGTGAGAAGTTCTCATCACTTGATTAGACTTTGGACTATTAGTGGGTTCGATATGGGAGGTGGGGGATGAACACCATCACGTACACGGATGTGCTTTGATACAAGAGGTTTTGTAGATTTGGAAAGGCAAAAACCCAATGATTCACAATTGACCCAATCACGTGAAGTAGTACATCTGATCAGAGATCACATCCCTCAGGCTACATCCTGTATTGCCAAACATTAAAAGTTGTGGTGATCCCAAGTCAGTGTAGTACTAGTTACTGGTGGAATGATTATCACTGCACCATGCACTATGTGGACATAGTGGGAGGCCTGCTAGAAAGGTTGCTCGACATGAGTTGCCCCTTACATTTTGGTAGGCATGCATGCATGCAGCCTGCACTGCACTGACTTGTAACACACCTCTCACTGCTAGATAAGGTGTGGAGAAATTCTCGTTTGGAATTAGCAGCCTTTGTTTCAAGTGTTTTGTTTGGCATCTCGAGTGAATGAAAGTCAGTGCTGAATGAAAGTCAGTTCTGAATGAATACGGCACGGCACCTATACATACACATCTCATAACTATAATAAGTTACACAGGGGTGGCGAGCTGCATTCAGTCCTGAATGAAATACATGATGCTAAATATTACTAAACCGTGATTAGTAAATAAAAAGGCCAGCTTATGGCCGTGAATGAACTAAAGGAAGATGCAATGGAAGTGGAACCAAGTCTCTTACAGCCCTACGACGAATACATGTATCAGTGCAGCCGTCTCAATGCTGTACGTACTTGTGAGATTCTCCTGTCGTTGAGTACTGCTTGTACAGCGGTCATCATGTGACCTGGTGTATATCCATCTGTGATCTTAGCCAGACAGCTCAAGTCAAGCTGGGCTGACAGCCGGCCATACTTCTCAATCAGCTTCTGCCAGATTGCTACGGCAGAGAAAAGGGAAACGGAGATCGTGCACGTGTCATGGGGATAGCGGGCAAATCGCCTACAAATGTACATGTAGAGTCTAACAGTGAAAGGGAGCGCTTCACTTCATTAGTAACTGGGCAGTTGAGAGAATTCTTGACCAGACTGGCAGCTTTCACACTCTCTGTGCTTGAATACCAGTAGTCAGAAGAGTTCAACCTGATATTCATAAGTTTGAGGGAGCTGAAACGGGAGAAGTCTAAAGAAAACAATATGTCACCACCAGGGCTCGGACCAGGGACCCTCGCTTAATCGATGCACGAAATGACGACGTATGTACGTGCAATGTCCAGTGTACAGCAGTATTGCTTACCTCTTCTTGAGGCATAGTCCGGCCGTGGGATAAGAATCAGCCGTTGGTACATGCCACAGAATGGCTTGGTATCGGCATTGAATGGTACACACGACGTGCCCAGTACCAGAACACGATCTTCTGGTTTCAAGAACTTGAGCACTTTCGGCAGCTCCTTCTTGAAGCGCTTGCACTCTGTCTGCACAGCAGTGCACAGACATAGACACGGACACCACGTATACCCATGCTTAGATAACTGTAAAACACAAGTTGCGGTACATGGTATGGTAGCGGAGAAGGTCATGTATGGTGGTGGTGCATGGTATGGCAGTTGAGGCAGGGGCGTCGGAAGGTATTTTAATGTGGTACGGTCAGCCATCTGAAGTACAATTTACTCGTGGGGGAGTGGTGGTTGAGCCGAAAATTTTGGAATTTTAGATCCCAGATCAGTGTATTTTGTTGATTCACGGGGTATCTGGGGCAAGTGGTGCGGTCAATACCGTAGTGACCGTACCGTGTGCGACGCCCCTGGGAGTCATGTGTGGTGGTGGTGCATGTATGTACAGCTCGTTTCCCGGTGTGCAGATGTACAATCATCATGTACGTGAGTGTCTGGAGATGGGCAAGGGTGTCTACCACATGCTCTGCATTGGGATTTACATATACATACCCTTACTTACTGTGTCTGTCTTCGGTATCTTCTTCATGAACGACTTCTCACAGTCTCCAATGTACACAACACTGGGAGGAAGGGCTCTGGCAACCTGTCAGTGAAGGACATTGCACATGTCCCACAAACACACGTGCACACACATACACACATAGTAGTCACATACACACACACACACACACACACACACACACACACACACACACACACACACACGCACACACATGGTGAATAAGCTCAATACACGGGAAGCCTGTCTCTATTTTGACCAAGCAACATTTCAAGTAGAATAAGTTCACTGGAATAGCATGATTGATTGACGATGATCACCTTCAGTACCAACCTTTGGGTGACCAGGGCCAGATTGCAGGACGCCTACATACAGGACATGAGTGTACAGTACGTCCATTAGTCACTCGTACTGGTTCATGCCGTGATCAGTTGGCACATCGTGAAAGAAGAAAGAAGAAACCATGTCAAGTCTCCAGGAGGATGGATAACCCTCCTCCAGCCAGTCACTGCACACACTAGCTCCGGGATGATCAGTCACACATCACATTAGCCAAGCATACACTAACACATCAGCCAAGCACACATTAATGCATCGGCTAGGCACTGTCACGGGCATACCTTGAACACCATGTGTACTAGCAGTGCCGTGTTCTTCTTGTCAGAGTACTTGCCGGCTACGTTGATTGGTGACAGGTCAAAGAGGTTGGCACCGGTCTCGCTGCAGGCAATGTTGACCAGCATACGCTTGCCTGTGCCGTGTGGGCCAAGCAAAGCTACAGACTTGATGTGGGGGGCTTTCTCATGCACGGCCTGTGAACCTATAGCAACAGAACAGTAGCACCATTGGAATATCAACTCTGATACGCATACGGCTAGTATTTCCTATGGCGGCTTCTCAGTTACTCGCAGGCCACCTGATGGATATACCAGTACATGTAGTTCAATTGCTGATACATACATTACGGTGAAGGTACAGTTGTGTACACACCACACTGTACACACACAGTCTTCGGATGCTTCGATCTCCTGGCCAGCACAATGAAGTAAAAGCTACAGACTTACCCATTGGTAGAATGCAGTACTCGGTGACAACACGTCTGATCTCTGACAAGGATGGCATTGGCTCTATGCCTGCAGATCGCAAAGTTGAGCCTAGGTAACTAAAAGAAACACGAAACACGCACCGAGGAGCAGAAGAATCCTCACACATGTGTTGCTAGCTACTGTTACACGTGAAAGTGCTACACAGAACGTCAGAACGTAGACCTCATTCCTTCATTGAATCAGATGCATTGTCCCATACACCACACACCACACACCACACACCACACACCACACACCACACACCATACACCATACACCACACACCATACACCACACACCGGCATACACCACTGTACTCTAGCTGGCCTACACAGAACACTGACCATTGCATCCAATTGTTCAAAAAAATACGCTCCTTTCAAGCAGGGCACACGTACCTGTACTCGCCAAGATATTCGGTCATTTGTGTTTTCGCAGCTCTGACGACAACACCATCACCCACTAGCTGCTCATAGAGCGAGTCAATTGTCCTGCAATATGGAGAACGCACAACACACAGAACCAGGCTACCAGCTATCAAAGCAAGAAAATACATGACATGACATTGTGATTACTTGCATTGCAAGTGTATTAAAAGCAACCCACTGAGGCTTTGCAACTCATGGGTACCTAAATCATTGATTGCATGTTATGTTGTACCAGCTAGGCTTGTTGCCATATTGCATGAAAAAAGAGAGTTACCATGGCCACCCCATCACAAATTCCTTAACAATGCCATCATGTAGGTCAGCATATTGGCAGGCGTACTCACCTGTCTGGAGTTAGATCCTTCTCCTTCTTTCCCTTCTTCCCCTTCTTGCCCTTCTTTGCCTAATCAACAGGAGGTGCAAATGAATATACATTCATACGGCCAGTGAGCAAGCGAGTAAGTTGGTCGTCTAACAAGCACAACCTCGGCATACAAACCATACATAGGGTGTATAGCCGTCTAACACACAACATACACACACACACGATACGGTACCACGATTCCGTCATGGCCACCGGAGATATCCTGAATAGGAAATCTCTGCATGATCCGCTCTCATAGTTCTGCATGCGCGAGAGACAATAGTTGTTATGCAGTTTATCCGCACAGTCTCATGTGTCGCAGTAGTGCACCAGAGCACTGAAGTGCTTCCTCAATAGTTGTTGCATTCGATACAGAGGCACTGGCGCTATGATTATAAGTTAATACAGGTAGCTGTAAGACGCGACTGAGTGGTAAGGCTACATTGCCGGGACATCTCTCTCAAACAAGGAATTACAGGCCTGCCCACTAGTACACAAGTATCTGCATTGGTAAGTTGCAGAAACATGCTGGCTCAGGCTGAACCTAACATATTGCAGCAGGTTGTCTTAGATACTCTAGCCTGGTCATCTCTACAATTCTAAGGTTATGAAAATGCAGCTCGACTGGGTGGAATTGATGAACAGCCACCGCAGCTGAACCGACTCCCCCGCTACGGTGGCTGGTAGTCTGTTAGGTATACAGGTGCTAGTGAGTGCTCAGTACAGTCAACAGGTGCAGGACCACACTACCTTCTTCTTCTTCTTTCCGCCTTTCTTCTTTCCAGCTTTGGCTTTCTCCTTGTCAATCGCCTGGAATTCAAAGAAAAGCAGGAACAATGACAACACAGTGCAAAAAAACTGGTCATGTGGACCGTCTCCTGGGAGAGGCCGGGAGAGCAATTCAAAAGGAATCTTGGAAAGATGATGCAATGAAAACATAGCCATTGTACATAAACACTGAGTTACTCCGGCATAACCAACCCGCCATGCATCTTTTGGATCTTCGAACAGGAGAACAGGTGCTGTGACTGCTCAGTTGCAGAGCTCCAGTATTCAGACTGGCCAGACAAAAGACGCTAAAGAAGTGAACCCCACATCCACTTGGACTAGAGCCTTCTACCACACTCTGCTGTGCGTGAGAACTTAGCAAATCACGGTCACAGAGAAAGGCGTAGAATTGATGCAAAGATCTGGAGAAGAACTCAGTAAAGAGTCACAGTGATGAGAAGACACTGCTATGGTCTATCACTTGATTCACGCTTGCACCTTCAACGTGTGTCATGACTGCAGGGTGACCTGGTCATATCATAGTACCCGTATGTTCAGTTGCGGCTAGGCAGTGAAATCCAACCCAAAGGGCAAAGCTGGCACCCTGGACCAGTTCACACTACATAACTGTAGTTGTAGAGGTGTATGCTTAGCAGCATGCCTGCCCGGCATGGTTCACTCAGTGACACAAGTCCAGGGTGCAAAGGGTCACGCAAGCCTATGGTGCCCGATAGGTACTTGGGGTAAGATTACCGGCGGCCGTGCAACTGTGACTAAATACCACTAAGTAACTACACTGTGGTGCTCTAACCAACAATGTCTTACCAGTTTCAGCTTTGCGAGCTCATCGCGCATGACCTCGTCAACCTGCTGTCGGATCTCCGTCTCCAGTTCAGAGCTGAGCACAGCAGCAGCAGCAACACACAGTGGAACACACAGTGGAGTAAGTGAGAGATCATGTCAGAGACACACTGATCACACAGTGGAGTAAGTGAGAGATCATGTCAGAGACGCACTGATCACACAGTGGAGTAAGTGAGAGATCATGTCAGAGACGCACTGATCACACAGTGGAGTAAGTGAGAGATCATGTCAGAGACGCACTGATCACACAGTGGAGTAAGTGAGAGATCATGTCAGAGACGCACTGATCACACAGTGGAGTAAGTGAGAGATCATGTCAGAGACGCACTGATCACAGTCCTTTCATAGTCTTCACATGGACGGGTCCGCTATGTAGTTCCATAGCCATAGATTACTCAATATGACCCCGCAGAGCCCAACTAAGTTAGTCAGGAGAACACGAATGTGCCAGGTTAAGGACAGTATGTGTCCTGGTTTATTTCTATAGACGCATGCTGTTGTTAGATATGTCAGGACCGGTTGGGGATCTAGTGTCATGCCATGACTATCAGGACATGACTTCCATGATGGATGATAACTTCATAAGGTGTAACTTTGACTTTGATAGGCAGATGCATTACCAACGGTTATGACAACTTGATGACACCAGGTATGAATACAGGGCATAAAGCCATGGTTAAAGCTGTCATCTTGGCAGATCGCTCACCGTTTCTTTTCCTTGATCAATTCGACATCATGCTTCTGCTGAAAGTTGTCCTTCTCTTCACGCATCTCCCACATATCTATTGCAACAGAAAATTGTGTGTGGAAGGGGGGGGGGAGGTGGGCAGCAAAATCATGCATCTGATCAGCAATGCAGAGTCTGCTGAATCGCTATGGTATGCAGAGTCTGCTGAATCGCTATGGTATCGCTATGGTTACAGGTATGCAGTGGCAACCAATAGCATATACTAAGCAATTGTTATGAACGTAACTGACATGAAATAAGACCCCACAAAAGCAAATAAGTAGTATGTTACCTCACTCACGCCCTCCACCATGTCTATCGGAAAAGATGCTTTACGTCTGACTTACTTCTGTAGTCATGGCAACCTTCGGCAACAGTTGTTGTGAAAAGTGATGGTGGCATAGTCCATCCGGGGTCTTCCTCCTGAAAGTCACACATGTACCAACATGCAGTCCAGTATGCAGTCCAGTATGCAGTCCAGTATGCAGTCCAGTATGCAGTCCAGTATGTAGTCCAGTATGCAGTCCAGTATGCAGTCCAGCATGCAGTCCAGTATGCAGTCCAGTATGCAGTCCAGTATGCAGTCCAGTATGCAGTCCAGTATGCAGTCCAGTATGCAGTCCAGTATGCAGTCCAGCATGCAGTCCAGCATGCAGTCCAGCATGCAGTCCAGTATGCAGTCCAGTATGCAGTCCAGTATGTAGTCCAGTATATACAGTATTATCTCTAATATAAGCACGGTCCTTTATTTTTTCAATGTACCTCCGCCCCGTGCTATTAATGGAGACGTTCCTTTATTGAAGACTGTTCCATTATTATTTCCACCTCATTTCATAGGCATGTTGCCATGGCCAAATTCATGTCAGACACACACATTTCAGGGTTTTTTCGCCGGTACAGATAATGAATTTACACAGTGTGCTTATAATGGAGACTCAGTACTTTATTTTTTGAATGCCGCCCCAAGGTGTTCTATTATTGGAGACGTGCTATTATTGGAGACTGTGCTTATATTAGAGATAATACGGTAGTCCGGTATGCAGTTCAGTATGCAGTCAAGTATGCAGTTCAGTATGCAGTCCAGTATGCAGTCCATTATGCAGTTTCTTTAGTATTGAATGGAGCTGAATATCTTAGTCCTATATTTTACAAGTACTGGTATGTGATGCCCCAACTACTAGTACATCAGAACTGGGGAAATTAGTGTCCTAGCTACACGGATCGAAGCCGATCTGTTCCACATACACAACAGCAGAGCATGCAGTGGCACTTCAACTTGAGCCGCAGAGTGAGTATACGTCAGTATATGTATACCATGTTCCTAATCGTGAGCGGCGGTTTCATCACACTGAACATCATCATAGCTACTTACCTCCTCTCCTTTTCCTTTCTTGCCTTTTCCCTTTCCCTTGCCCTTTCCTTTCTTGTCCTTCTTGTCTTTCTTCCCCTTTTTGCCTTTCTTGCCTTTCTTGCCCTTCTTCTTGCCTTCATCCGGTGGTGCAATGGGCTCCTGAAGTCAGAGAGAAAGAAATCGTTGATAATGTGTAGATGTGTAGGCACACACTCGGGGAAAAAGGATCACTGCTGTATTGATAAATAGAAGTCCGAGCGCACGAGCTCACCGGCGTATGGGGCTTGTTAGTTGCACAAACTACTACACAAAGCAATGCAACACATGCACACATACTGCGAACTGTACAGCGGCATTACCAAAACCTGTATTGGCCAAACAACTGGAGCTTTCCCGGTCTGTAACCATACATACAAGGAGAACGGCAACTGAAAACCAAAAAAGTAGTGCTCAGAGGCCACAGTTATCTGGTTGCCTACACTGGAGGCCACAGTTATCTGGTTGCCTACACTGGAGGCAACAGGTCTGCTAAACACAACACACGTGCTCGTACTTTCCCTATAAGCTTTACAGCCATGGCAGTGCTGGCATTACTACTGTCTAGAACACAGCAGTTTAGTATGGCACACAAATTCAATGTACTTACGCCAGTCTCTGTGACCTTCTGGAAAATACTGGCTGAGCCGCCTTCCTCCTCAGTTGGGTACTCAGGAAATTTCCCTGTTGTGTCTCTGTATTTCCGACCACAGTTAGCAACAAAGACAAGAACAAAGATTCAAAAGTGTCGCCAGACAAATTCGTGCCTCTGGTCATAGCTTTCAATCTTGTAAAAGCAAAGGTCAGTTGCCTCGCCACACTGCTGTCCAGTAAACCATCATTTTTGGAATACCACACCATACTCTGGCCGGGACTCCATTCATTATTTGCTGTGTAGGCAGGGATTGAAGCAAAGGAGAAGATGTAACCTACAGTGTCTTGGCTAGATGAAGTGGTTGACTGGTCACGGGCTGTTTCTTTTACCCCCCCCCTCCCCTAACACCCCCCCCCCCCCCTTGAAACGGGAGTGTGTGCCTACCTGACTTCCAGGAACCACTGGCGGATCTGATCTTGCATGCCCTCACGCATGTCAGGTCCTTCAACATCACGCAGCTTGTCTTTCACCGTCACCAACGCCTGCAGTAGAGAAGGATGAACCACCATGATTGGAGCTTCAGATGCGTCACATTTTAGCCTTGATACATCCAGCGTGGATGCTTCACTGAAAGCAAAGTCCATTCCACAACCCCAGAGTGATAGCCGTAGGAAGACATACCGACCACGCTAACATCATCAAACTCACACTATTCCATTACAACACCATAGTGCGATTAACCCACTCATCCTTACCGATTGGAATTCACTCTCGAATTGCTCCTGGATCAACCGACGTTTCACCTGGATAGCCAACAAGTGGAAAACAATACATATCCACACACAAGTGCACACACATACAGACATGCACACATACACACAGATACACATACACACACACACACACACACACACACACACACACACACACACACACACACACACACACACCATTGGCATTGGACCATTGGACGCCCATCGCCGGAGGCGATGATAGCGCTGCTACAGCAGAAGCCATAGCAGCTTGTGCTGGGATTGCACCATTCAACAGCTTGCAAGGCTGAAGAATTGACCGCCACTATTCAGCCTGGTCTACACCACACAGCTATGAAGTGGCTTTTTTCTGGCCAGTGAATCCCTACTTTTGGTCTTTTTCATTTTTTTTTTTCGCACACACATCACACCACATACTCCGGCATGCACTGGCTGTTGGTAACACACACACACACACACACACACACACACACACACACCTCACACACACACACACACACACACACACATACACACACTCACCCCCCCCCCCCCACACACACACACGCACATATACCCACACATACGCACACACGTACACGCACGCACACACACACCACACACACAAACAAACACACACACTCACATGCACCCCCCCCCCCCCCCCCCCACACACACACATCCACACACAAACACACGCACACACATTCTTGCACAAGCTGATGAGGCACACAGTCCTATCCGACAGTACACGTTATCTCCTTACCCTAGTGTTAGCTGTGTACTCCACTGCTTCTTTCTTGTCAACGGGGACAGGCTTCCGAACCTAGCCATTAGTGGGGAACACAATGTAACGTGAAACACACAGACTACTTTCTAACCAGCTAGTATCTGGCACAATGGGTAACACACACTCATACCAGTCTCCCTTGCGTCTCTCCTATTCACACTTCAAAGTAAATGGTTACTGGCATCTCATCCAGGCAGCATTTCATTCTAAACTTACATGGAAACAACAGGAAGGTGATGCCAAAATGGCTTTCGAACGTATTCACTTTGCAACATATAAATGCCGATGTGTGCATATTCTGAGTCTGGGGTTTCCCGAACTATGGGCTTGTGCCCAACCAGACTCAGTACAGACTGGCTGGGCAAGAGACGCATGAGTGCCTTCATAGCATACACCTATTCCTCTCTACAGTACAGTGGGTACAATGACATCACTATAGTAGCTACAATGACATCACTGAAGTGGCTCCAATACCATCACTACAGTGACCCCAATGATGATTTCTGTCATCATTGGATTATGAGCTAGACGTAGACACCTGGTCTTTGTCATTCTACATTGGTGGAGAGTGAAATCCAGTCTTGTGAATACATGTACAGCAGCAGGGCAGCAGTGTTCATTACACAACCCAGTGCTAGCAGCACTATGGTGGTGGTCACTCAGGGTCTCAGGCCCAGTGCGGAACGTTACTACATATAGTACTACTGTACATGCACGAGGTGGTACTTCACCTGCCACCATCTTGCAGTACGTCATATTGATATTACTGTCGCAAATATCCAGGCTAGTGGGTAGTTGTGCAAAGGTTTGGGCTAGGTGTGTCCATGTGTGCTGCATACATGTACATGCAACATGTGTTACCATGGTTACAAATTTAAAATGGCCACCCACTGGTTGCCATGTCCACTGCAGTGCCACTACTGTCTACTCACCATTCCCAGAAAGGCCAGTTCTTCTTCTCGCATTACCAACGTCTTCTTACGCTGTGCAAATCCCCGAAACACCTGGTGGAGCACGAGCAACAAGCATTGCAAGAGCATGACATCAAGAGCTAAGGTCTTGGGTATAGTATGAGTAGCACATTCATTGAATGACGTGGCGGTACATGTATTATACACATCACATGGACATGTGGTATACTTCTTGTCCTCGGCTAATGGCCAAGACATCGCATGTCGGCATACCTTCTGTATTTTCGTGGCAGCAACATCAGGATCAAGCGTAGGCGCTCCTCGCATCTGCTGCAGTCGCTCCCGTTCCTCTTGTGACCTTTACAAACACAGAATAGAAAGCAAGCAAGGATAGAAAATGTTACGGCATTTTCAGCACCTTGACTGCACACGGTCAGTGTTACTAGTACCGTAAAAACCTGTAACTAAAGACCACCGTGACTAGCGACTAGCCTGGCACTACCGACCACTTCGCCAGGCAAGGATGGTCTCACATTCATATAATTATGGTTGTGCGGTGCAAACCTATAACTAAGGACCACCTGCTACTAAAGACCGCTTTCTCTGGCCCCAAGGGGTGGTTGTTAGTCACAGGTTTTACTGTACCTGCTTTGTTGTCGGGCAGCAGAAAGAGGTCCGGGTGCAGAAAGAGGTCCGGGTGCAGAAAGAGGTCCGGGTGCAGAAAGAGGTCCGGGTGCTGTGAAGCAGCACAATCAACGACTGCATGACAAGCTAAACCGTTTACCATAAAACGCTGAACAGGTCGCGGCTTGTATGCACTATTTCAGTTTTGTAGAATTTCACAGGCTTTTACATGAGACATGCTTCTATACAAAACAGGTTTTATGCAGTATGTAGACACAAAAGCTGGGGCTTATGTGCTCATGTTGTAGTAACCATCTGGAAAATCAGGCTTGTAATCAAAACAGGTTCTATGTGAGACAGGCTCTTCCGTACAAGATAGCATGGCATTTTTTTCCTTACCTGATTTCTTTCATGAACTTTGCTCGCAATCTTCCTTGTCGTGCACGCTCATGGATCTAGGAGAGCCAAACAGTCATCATTCACGTCAGAAAAAAACCTGAGTCCATCACCATTGTGTGCATAAATGAAATTGTTTGACACATGTCCCACGCGTGATGTCCATGCAACAATGTACTATTCTACCACCAGTGGAATACCAATTGCTACTGACAGCCCCTTCCCAGTATGGTACTATGAAGGACAGTAAAACTGTACAAGTGCACAAAGGAACGCATATACCTAGTCTATGGTGCTGAGGGCATGGCACCCAAATGAACTGAAAATTGGAACCTATTGAAAAATAATGCAATTACAGTACATTGTAAACAGGTGTTTCGCAGACAGCAGTTATAATATAGCTACAAGGATGACTAATTGCACTGTAAACATTTCCTATATTTTACACATACATGTTGACATTATAGGAAATGCTTACAGTGCAATTAGTCGTCCTTGAAGCTATATTATAACAGTACATTGTACTCGTACTAGTACATTTGCATTGAGTTAATGTGCTTACTAGGTGCATCATCAGTTGAGATGCTTCGGGAAAGTCGCGGCACATGCACAGCGATGCACTAGCGACTCACTAGCGACTCACTAGCGACTCACGCCATATAGATAGCGTCCACAAGCGATTCCGCTGACTCACCCCCATGATATCATTCACACAACCTCTACTGGTGATCAAGTGCAAGTTGCTATCATGCTGCACTGTACTGGTTAAGACAAGTACAAGTACATGTACCGTGCCACTTACCTGAAGTATACGAATGGCCTCTTCTGTCAACATCTGTGGCTCTGCTTTCTCCTGTATTGCATCAGGAATGAAAACGTGGGAACAAGGAACACGTGTGTCAGTGTATGCTCATCACTTGATATTACCAACTGGTTCCTAGCGTATATTCCAGTCAGTGATGGTGAGGCTTGCCTCACTTACTTCGGTGCACATGGGCGTGTGTAGCACACATTTCACTCAATTGCCATGGCAATCAGCTGCATCATTGCTTGTACACTGCCAAGCAAACACACTCTACATCATACAAATGCACACAGCGTGAACCTCACTGATGTTGAAGCTGGCTTCTCCGGGGCGATCTTTGCCAGCATGGCTGCCAGCCTCTTGTCCCGGTCCTTCAGTGGCTCAGCCGAGTCACCGTGCATGAAGTAGTACGGTATAGGCATCTCCATTTTGTCCTGGAGATTGCGGGTGAGGCAAGATGGACGACAAAACAAACAATGCTGAGCCATACACAATCTACTGGTACTGCATGGTGCACTGGTGCGAGGTATCGAGACTGCGAATTGTAATTTTGTGTTGGGATGAGGTGAATGTAAGATACAGTAATATGTTGTTGGAATCTCTAACCATCAGAACAAAATGTTCTGCCGATCAGGCCGTCCAGAACTAATAATTTGCTATTCCGGGTCATCCAAGCAACCGTCTTCCTCCGTGAGAGAGAGGAAACATGTATCAAGTCTGATAAGTACAAAAGAGGGTGGAACATGGTCGTATCCCCTTGCCGCTCGACAACAGCTACCCTGATAGAACTAGTTTAAATCCGTCCCAGTTTCCGATGTCGCTATCATCTAGCCGAGATCCAGGACGCGTGGAGCCCTGATAGTGCTAGGTGGGCTGCAGACAATTATAGAGTTATGTCAAGCAAAGCTTAGCATGCATACATGCATGGCTGGCCACACATACAATATAAAAGGAACCAGACGGACCTAGGCTCTACAGCCAGAGTGTGATCATTTCCATGCTTACCGGTGTCAGCTTCATGTCCAGGATGATGTCATCCAGGAACTGGAACTCAGACATTTCAAGATTCACCAGTTCATTCTTGATCTCCAGAATTCTACACACAGAGATTAGAACAGGCAGTGTCAAAATGACAACGGGTAAGCAGCATCTAGGGGCCTTTCCAACTCCACACCACAGTATACGCTCTCCAGCCTACTCCGCACCACAGTATACGCTCTCCAGCCGACCTTGATCAATAAACTAGGAACAGAGAGACTCCAATATGGATTCAGATCGTGATTCCTTCAGACCGCTGTTTTGACCATAATCATGTCTTCTCAGAGAATGTTTGGTATATGCACCCCATACCGCTATACAGTCAACTTCGCTAATAACGACTGCGGATATAACGACTGCGGATATAACGACAATCCGCGAATAACGACAGAGTTTCCATGCCCAGAGCAAAGTCCCATCCAACTGTAATACATATAATGAGACTTCGGGTATAACGACACTTTTTTGATACCCCGCCGAGTGTCGTTATAAGCGAAGTTGACTGTATAAATCATGATCCTGCTTGCATTGCTGAACAAATGACAAAATGGCTGTTATGCTGATATCTGAGAAACTGAAAAGTGAAAAGGCAGCGCGGATGTGCATGTTGAGATAACAAAGTGTCCAGACGCTTTGCTGCAAATAGTGCTCTATGTCCCAAGCTAAGGCAAAGCATGTCACACCAGGCACAACAACAGAGACCAACATCTTTCCACTGCTCTGAGTTGCGTGTTCAAAAACACTCCTCAGACAATGCAGAATGCTGTCGGTACGTGCATTTCACTAGGCATGATTGTGGTAAGCCACAACTAACGTAACATTGTACTGACCTTCCCATTATGCCGTCCAGGCAATGGCGAATGACACGTCGCTTTTGTGGATGTACAATCTGATCATAGCACTCCTCCATGCTGTGGAAGTTCTGAAGGTACTTCACATAGAGCCGACCTAGCAGCTGAGATACTTTCACTTTGCTCTGGATTACGACACACGCACGCAGGCACACACACACACACACACACACACACACACACACACACACACACACACACACACACACACACGCACACACACACAAGCACAGGTGCAAACAGACAGACAAACAGACACAGACACCCACACACACAGAAAGACAGAAAGACAGACAGACAGAAAGACAGACAGACAGATAGACACACACACACACACACACACACACACACACACACACACACACACACACACACACACACACACACCACAAGACTAGCAATCCATTTCCAAAAATTGGTGCGCAAATCACTTCTCCTAACCATTATACGACATACAAGTAGCCATGCAGATGATCATCGGCTAATGTGAAAACATCGTATCAGAATGTGGTAGCACTCACTTTCTGTGGCTTGCGCTCCACTGTTGGCTGTTCTACCTCCAGCAAGTCAAACAGACCATAGGCTGTCTCATGCCACTGTGAGTTGAATGTTCTGCAGTATTCACATTCACATACATACGCGCGTGCACACACACACACACACACGTACGCACACATCCACACATACAATATTGTTGGAGCATTCGCACCAAGCGACGTCTTTGCCTCATTGCTGCACCAACCCATTCAAGTACACTCAGTCCTCGCTTATCCGGTCCTCTCTTATCCGGATCCTTCGCCATCCGGAAGAAAATCGTTGGTTACCGATTTACAGCATATGCCATGCATACATGCAGTATGTGTGTTCGATTTTCCGGTACCACAGTTACCACCGTTACCATAGTTACCACAGTTACCATAGTTACCACAGTTACCACAGTTACCACAGTTACCATAGTTACCACCGTTACCACAGTTACCACTGTTATCCAACATGGATGTACATGTACAATGTATAGATCGCAGTAGCACTATTAAAAATGGTTATGATGGTTGAACTGTGATCAGTGTGCTGGGATGTTCTCTTACCAATTTTAAATATTTCTTCTCGCTCGAGTGAAAACATGATTATTTACACATACATGTAGGTTTATCTGGGTATGTTCAAACATGCTAATCACATGACGTATGCCAGGACAGCTGATGGCTAACTTATAAACGGTCCTGGAGTTGATGACACATGTACTTTGCAATGCAGTAAGTGCACTGCATGGTTCATCCTATGGCGGGAAACCGGCTAATTCAAGTCTCTGTCATTACTGTACGCTGATGTACCCGATACCTAGTATGCCTGGGCCGCTCAGAATCTAGACAGGCCGGAACCACTTCAGGGGTGAGCCGCGCCTGGTCCAGGTTACGCCCCTAGCTGCCCTGGGTTCCACAGAGGGGGGGGGGGGGGGGGGGGGAGATTCATGCAGCACACATCAGCTACTGTACTGCACAGCCATTCGGATCACCAACGTCCCATGCTGTATGTGATAATGCCCATTTTTCCAAATTTTGCCCTGATGAGAAGTCGTCAGGAAGTAATGAGCGTGTATTATGATTGCGCTCCAGCGAGAGTGCTATTTCGTACAGTCTTCAGCATCTCATTGAGACTCCCAGTCCTAACCACTACAGCACCAAGCAACCAAAGTGTGGAGCGTGTCTTCGTGTGATGTTCTTCTTCATCTTACCCATGTGACATAGTGACCGCTGGCTAAGCTGTCCTCTCCCTCCTGGTCTCTGTCACAACGTAGCGCACCGTGACACACTCCACAATCGCCCCGTGTGTGCCCTAGCCCTCTATCAGCCTGTGTTCTCCAGAATGAATCTCTCTGCTCCCGATCACACACGTGTATACGCTACATGGAGCAATGCCATAATAATTATATTGAGCAGCTTTCAGCCTTCCTCGTTCTTTGCCAAACTGTATTCTGCTTGTCTGTCTCTTCGTCACACAACTCTCTCTACTCTGGGTAGTAATCAGTGAGTGCCGCTCTCGTCTGCAAACACCAGCAGGTAACAGTTGTGGAGTATGAAAACACAGGCTTGTGCAGGCTGCGGGCTCGCAGAGGCACGAGCCGGAGCGCTGGGATCAAGAGTAGCGATATCGAGTTACCGGTATCCAGTTTCTTTTCCACAATCTCTGAATGAGCCGGAGCGCTGGGATCAAGAGTAGCGATATCGAGTTACCGGTATCCAGTTTCTTTTCCACAATCTCTGAATGAAAAATCATTCAAATAATTCGCTGACACTGACACAGTGTCAGTGACAGAATCGTTGTGACCCTTCAATATTCACCATTCACAGCATGCTAGCAATACTGCATGTTGTTGTTTAGAAAAGGCGTCAAGTCGATTGTTATGGAGACGTCTTGTTGCCACGAGTAGCATGCAGCCTTGTGCCGTGCACGTGCGCTTGGCCTGTTGCAGTGTTGGATCAAGCTTGCACGCGCACGCGTGCCACGTACACGTGCGTTTCAAGATTCTGTAACAAAATTAATCAAGAAAGCGACACGCGCAGTATACGCGCGAATGATTCGAATGGCGATTCACCTCAGTGTTTTTTTTGTAAGCTGCAAGGATGGGCTCCAGCAAGCAAAGAGAAGTTTGCCTGCGTCATAAGGACATTGGGGACAAGGCTTTCTTAGCTAAGAAAGACAGGGAAGCTGTTCTCCAGTACAATGTTGTAAGAGATGCACGAATTTTGATTACAGTAATGAGTATTATTATTTTTTACTTTGAAATGTTTTGAAAAAGGAGCTTTTCAAAGGACAGATCTGTTCAGTGGAATGTAAAGAAGAAATGAGGATGATTTATGATTCCCGTGAGGATGTAGATCAAAATAGCACCAACATGTTCGAATAATACTGATCAGTACTTTGAGTGTGCCTATTGCGAATATTGATGAAAGTCAACTTTAAAATTGAAATTCAATTTCTTGAAAAGCTTGTTTGGAAATCATAGAGCTATAAGAATTATTGCCTACATCATTAGTACATGTCATGATATAGTGCGGAATATCAAGAATGCGATATACTGTAATGTCACGTTTATAGCCTGCCATGCTTATTTCTGTAGAAGCCGAGGCACATGGCAACGATTGTATACATGCTGCTCGGTACAGGTACCATTCTTCTTTTAGACACACGCCATTGCTGTGTGTGTAGAACTACTACATATAGCCGTAGTGTGTGTGTGACATTGCACTGCAATGTACTGCAATGTACTGCAATGTACTGCAATGCACTGCAATGTACTGCAATGTACTGCAATGTACTGCAATGACGTACTGCAATGACGTACTGCAATGACGTACTGCAATGACGTACTGCAATGACGTACTGCAATGACGTACTGCAATGACGTACTGCAATGTACTGCAATGTACTGCAATGTACTGCAATGACGTACTGCAATGACGTACTGCAATGTACTGCAATGACGTACTGCAATGTACTGCAATGACGTACTGCAATGTACTGCAATGACGTACTGCAATGTACTGCAATGACGTACTGCAATGTACTGCAATGTACTGCAATGTACTGCAATGTACTGCAATGTACTGCAATGTACTGCAATGTAGTTCTAGTGCAGACATGCATGTGCTACAGTGAGTGCGTTCGATTATGCGCACGAATCGATTCGCGCTATTCACATCACCCCATGTGAATAGGGTGAATGGATAGTGAGTGCGTTCGATTATGCAGTTGAATCGATTCATGTATCTATTCGCATGCATTCAAGTCGTTCGTTTTCACATCATGAGCTCTGGAATCGATTCGGAATTCATTCACCCAATTCACATGGGGCGACGTGAATAGCGCGAATCGATTCATGAATCGATTCGCGGGTGTAATCGAACGCACTCACTGTACTCACTGTACACTCACTGTACACTCTTTTTTTGAGTTTTTTCACTGAGCCTCTTGTACGGGCAAAATAACACATTTTGTGAAGAATCAACACATAAAACGAATCATCAGATACAGTATTTACAGAGTCTGTCACTCAGTAGGATCACTGCACTGTGCAGGTTCACTGGATGCGTGCCTCCGCTACCACTAGCACAGCAGGGGACTCAGGCATGGCAGGAGCAAACATGCTCCTTGAGCCACGCAGGCACATAGCACCACAACGCACCAGGGCAAACCCAAGGCGGCAGCGCAGCAAGGAGATACCCTTCCCGTATGGCTCCTTACTCTTCTCAGCCAGGAGAGAGGCGATCCGCGTGAAAAGAGCATTGGCATGCTTGCCATAGCCACCAGAGGCAGAGAGCACAACGGGCACGAAGGAGGCATGCTCAACTTCACGTACTCGCTCCTCGTACTTCCGGCGCTTTTCCTGTTCATGGCGTCTGTAGCTAGCAGCGAGGGAGGTGGCACGATTCGAAGTGGCAAAAGGGTTGAACACCCGTACATCAATAAAGATGCGCTAGAATCGGCCACCCCACACACCACTAGCCGCAACGTCCAGCCGAGCTTGCTCCTCCGTGACAGCTGTGCGATGGCGGAAGGCCTCTCCGGTGACGGGCTGGAGGTGGGGTTCCACTGTCACGTTGTGAGCGACCTGCCTCAGAGCTCTGGCGGTGATGTCCCTCACCTCGTTGTGTCGCAGCGTCGGGAAGCCACCAAACGGGCACGACAGGGCGTGACTCACATTCAGCGGCTTACTGCACACGCAGAGGCTTGGGAGCCGAGGAGGTGTCCAGCCGTACCGGAGGCACAGGCCATCCCGGAAATCTCCCTTGCTGAGTGTGAAACCATGGCGGCTGAGGGGGCGGCAGGTCAGCCAGCTGGATGCACCCTTTTCTGAGGCCAGGTCGAAAACAGGGGCCAGCTCCCGGTGATCCGAGCGAAGAGCGTCAGCCATAGACTTGAACGCGCTCCGCTTCTCGGCCCGAACCGTCGCCTTGACCGTCCGGAGCTGAGTCAGAGAGTCGCCAAGAGACGACTCCTGCTCCAGCAGGCGAGACACGAGGCTAGCCGTGATCCTTCGGGATGAGGTGTACTGTTCAGCCACTGAACAAGGGTCTGCCATACCCAGTCCCCCAAGCCGGCAAGGCAGAGAGAGTAGGGAGCGAACAGTTGTCCCAGGTGGAGCCTGACCCGTGATGGCCGGGATGAGCCGACCGCTGATTGCGTGTTCCAGCGGTTCAAGCAGGGATGGCGGGATGGAGGAGGTCCGGCAGAGGAAGGACCACTTGTTTTGCAGGCCCTGTGTGAAGGCGGAGTAGGCGGCCTGTGGCTGCGATGCAGCGATGGTCGTGAGCTGCGCAACTTCCTCACACCAGGTGGCGACCTTGGACTGGACAAATTGCTCACTCACTGTACTCACTGTACTCACTGTACTCACTGTACCTGTGGTGTAGAGTAGTTGTAGGTTACACCGACAAGCGTACGTCAGTCTGAAGGGATATCGGTGCATGTACTGAACAAATGACTCACACTTTATGAGCTTGTTTGGAGCCCGCCATATACCCCCCCCGCCATATACGCAAATACGGTTGCTGTGCATGGTCACGATCGCTGATTTCGGCTACATATGTGACTGGCTTCTATTCAAGAGCAGCTTTAATTCGCGACATGCCGGTTCATGTATATGAATTCAGTGAACATCCATATTGAGTCAGTTGGATTGTCTGCACTACCGTAGTGACGCGCGTATAAGCACACGTGCCTATACCCGGGCATACGCGCATCCTCACAAATAAGCGCATGGGCTTATAAGTGAACCTAAATGCAGTCCATCCCGCGACACACACACACCACAAAAACACCATGTTCACATAGTTCAATCTGCATTGCGGTACTGCACTATGTGCATAATTATGCAAGGTGCCGGCCGGTACACTAGCAACTCAGGCGGATGCGCCTATGTGTGAGACAAAATGTACCGCAAAAAATAGCAAATAACGCAAAACTTACTCATAAGCGCTTAAGCGCATGGGCTTTATGTGTGTCACTATGGTAACAGTTTTATTTCGTTGACCTGTGTTACGTTGACCTGTGTTACGTTGACCTGTGTTACGTTGACCTGTGTTACGTTGACCTGTGTTACGTTGACCTGTGTTACGTTGACCTGGGTTACGTTGACCTGTGTTACGTTGACCTGTGTTACGTTGACCTGTGTTACGTTGACCTGTGTTACGTTGACCTGTGTTACGTTGACCTGTGTTACGTTGACCTGTGTTACGTTGACCTGTGTTACGTTTTATCCCTGCAGGCTATTCGGCATGCTCGCACGAGCGATGCTGATCTGCAGAACCGCCAGCACAAGCACACCAGCCTACCGTCAGACATTGATAGGAGCAAGGCAACTGCTCTGGCGGCCGATCTCCTGGCATTGTGCTTGTCGAATCGCTCTGCTGTACTTTTCCAGCTAGCCATGTACAAGGTATGCGTATTGCTGCGTCTTTTCCATCTCTTTTTGATATCGTTGTTGTTGCTGTTGTTTGTTTGTTTGAAGTCTTTATTCTCACGGCGTTGTTGTTATTGTTGTTGTTATTGTTGTTGTTGTTGTTGTTGTTGTTGTTGTTGTTGTTGTTGTTGTTGTTGTTGTTGTTGTTGTTGTTGTTGTTGTTGTTGTTGTTGTTTTTGAATTCTTTATTCTCACGATGGCACCATCGCCAATAAGAGATATTTGTTGTTGTTGTTGTTGTTGTTGTTGTTGTTGTTGTTGTTGTTGTTGTTGTTGTTGTTGCCGTTGTCGTCGTTGTCGTCGTTGTCGTCGCTGTTGTTGCTGTTGCTGCTGCTGTTTCTGCTGTTGTGGTTCTTGCTCTTGTTGTCGTCGTCGTAATCGTTGTGAGGAATGTGAGCCACTTGTCATTGACTCGCATGGTGTGTATTAACAAGTTTTTTTCTTGATTGTGTGTGTGTGTGTGTGTGTGTGTGTCAGGAATGCCTATCTGACCTGCAGCTCTGTCTGCCGATTGCACCAAAGAATCTTCTCTACAAGCTGTTCCATCGCTTGGCCATGGTGTGCCTCAAGTTGAACGACAGTGCTGCTCATGCATCGATAGCAAGACAATGTAAGTCAGTAAGCCGTATGCCAGTGACTCTATAGTAGATGGCTATTGGAGGTATCTCCAGTACGTTGTTTATGTACTGACGTTTTACTCTCTTGCCCGTTTTACGACTCCTGGACTCAGCAATGTGAGATACCAGTCACCGGATATAAATGGGTCCCAGGCGAGTTGTGATAGTAGTATTGTACAGCTGAGCAATCACATTTTGATAGGGTGAAAGTCGATGTGCAGAAAGCAGCATTGGTTAGCCTTGAGCTCTTGAATATTATGTCGGTTGTAATGCAGACGATATGCAAGCAGCTCATTGGTATCCACGATGCACTTGGAACCGGCAACAGTTTAGAAAGGTTTGGGAGAGGGTAGAGGAGTAAATGTACCGTATTTTCCAGAGTACAAGCAGAGCACTTTGAACACTCAAAATTCACTCCAACGAAGGAGGTGCAGCTTATACTCCGATGATCAAACTAACGGTGATAAATAGGGTAAATGTCTGTATTTCGTGGCAAAGGGGGGGGGGGGGGGGGGGGGTACGGCTTATACTCCAGTGTGGCTTATACTCCGGAAAATAAGGTATGTGTATTTCTACGACTGTTTTAGTTCCAGAATCTCATGAACATGTCAGTAGAGGCTGTCAGTGAGTATGGTCGTGCATGCATTGCTGTTTCGTAGATTCTAGGCCAGATGATACTGCCGGTTCTGTACAATGCCACTCACATCGTATGCCACTCACATCGTAAAGAGCTGTCACGGATTGTACTTTGATGCTGCGAACACTCCAGTGCTAGCTACTGCATGTTGTACTGGTGTCATGTGTGTGTGTGCTGGCTTTGCATTTCGTCTGCCCAGGCTTGGATGCAGCTCTGGATCACCTCAAGTTTGCAGAGAAACTTAGTGACCAGCGCAAAGGTATGGCAACCAAACACTTTGCGTCTGGTCATTATTCCCTATTTGTGTAGAGTGGAACTCACTTAGTATTTTCTCTGATAAGACATACTAGTACTCTTGCTTAGTACGGACAGTGTCTGGAGCATGCATGGGTGTAGTGATCCATACTGAAGTATGTTGGGACAAGAACTTCAAGAAGTACTGCTTTGATTGAGCGCCCTTCTGTGAAAAAGTGCCCTCCCCCCCCCCCCCCCTACTCATTTGTTGATTTTTTCATACCATTTAACGAAAATGCAGTCGATAGTCAGTAACAGAGGCCTCATAAAAGCCTACTTGTCTTGGGTGAAGTCGGGGGTTCGCCTCTGAACGTTTCAGTTTGCATGGCAAGACTATTTTGGAAATTGGAGAAAATGAGTTACGGGGTGACTGTTTCCCATGCCCGTCCGTCCCCCTACTATTTTGACCTGGCTAAAACTAGTGTTGAAACGAGTGTATCTATAACAAACGAGCGATCTGTTCCACTAACGAGCAAGCTATCGAGCGAGCTAACGAGTTTCATTGATGTGGCAAATATGATTACATTTTTTTAAATTTTTTCTAAGTTCGATATTTTTCAGCTGGTTCAAATTATCACCGCCGGTATTTGGGGTTGCTGCTGCTTAACTTTGGACTGCTGTTTGGTGTCGAGATGTCTTTTCAGCGCTGTTGTTGAGCAGCCTTTGGAAGAATAGACCGTTTTCAAAGATTGCAAGTAGCCCTGTTCTTCGCTGCATCGCGGGAGAAAACTTCCAAACGACGGAGCGTAACTTTCAATCGAATGGAGAGTTGATAGAAGCATGTCCTGCGACAGGTCAGCAGATGCGAAACAAGACATCAGTGGAGTCCACCAAAGCTTTGCTTTGTTTTTGTTTACTGCCATGGCTGGCTACCGCCCCCCTCCCTCCATATTGGCCTATATTCTCTGGCCACGGGAAGGTGAAATAAATAAAAAGAGAAAAGCTGCAACGACAACTGAAACAACTCATTGTCGTGCAGGTATACAGTCACTGTAACCGAGTGATTTTCACTTCGCGCGGGACTGGACTCTCGATCGACCAGGGAGTTGTAACATATTCTACGACTCCCCGGTCGACATGTACTGCCATGTGTACGGAGAACGGTGTACGGTGTTCTTTAGCGCAAACGAGCTGGCCGCACTAACGAGCCGAGTTTCTGGCGAGCGAGCTAACGAGTTCCCGGTGAGATCGTTTCAACACTAGCTAAAACCCTGCGGTTTGGCGTATGCCGTGTTTACTCAACTACGAATGTGTCAGAGCCGTCACAGGACTAAACACGGTTCTTATGGAACTCAAAGAATATCAGGGAGTTTTAGCTTCTGATATACCGTAAAGTACCGCCAGAGCGCCCCGTCTCGCGAGAGCGCCCCACCTTCATTTTAGGCCATCATTTTTTATATCTATGTTTCGCGTCAGTTCAACTTCCAGAATCATATGCGAGAGGTGGAAAAAAATAAAAAGTTTCAAAATAATAAAAAAGGCTCATCAGAGGTGTATAGCACTGTACATAGCACAATAGCCCGTGCATGGTGTACATGCGAAAGAAAAATCGTCCATCGAAGCACAAAATCTGGGTTATCAGCATCACTTTGGACAGAGGAGGCAACCGTTGGTGCCCTTGCTTCGCTAAATTATTGTACTCAGCCTTCAGCAGCGGTGCAAGGAGCCGGGAACGACGCATCCTCTTAGCTTGAGGCGATCGATGCGGTCTGGTGTAAGCTCATAGAATATTGCTAGCAGATGTCGAACAAACGATTTACCGGCGCTGGCCTCAACTGGCTCAAGGCCATTTCTGCATCCCAGCTTCGCCGTATGCAACCAGTACAGTCCACACTGATGACTCGCACGATCGTACACTGTGCATGTGCATGTTCGATTTTTTATTTTTTTCCGAAAAAAATCAAAACATATGCGTGCGGACGACGCGAAACATAGATATAAAAAATGATGGCCTTACAGCCAGAGAAAGGAAAATCGTATGGCAGAGTGCAACGAAGTGTGTACGATGTGAGAATCTTAGTGTACTAAGGTCACACTTGGCAGGTTTTTGTGTGGAGCACGTGTCCGCTTGAAGGTACGGATTGACCGCAAAACGTGCAATATGTGTACAAGGTTCATGTCGTATGACCTACAGACAGCAGACCACCTCCACAATACGACCACGAAAGGATGAGATGGTGGGGCGCTCTGGCGGTACTTTACGGTACTGGTAGCTCAGTGCGTGGCCGTTTTCACAGGGCATGACGCATGTGTGTGTGTGTGTGTGTGTGTGTGTGTGTGTGTGTGTGTGTGTGTGTGTGTATGTGTGCGCGCACGCGTGCGTGTATGCATGCATGTGTGTGTGTGTGTGTGTGTGTGTGTGTGTGTGTGTGTGTGTGTGTGTGTGTGTTCTCTTCCTGTTACTGTAATGCATTGCTGCAGATGAACTACGGCAGTCCTATCTTAAAATTCAGGAGAGATCATCGCCGAGTACAGGTGTAGCAGTTGGTAGCACACATAGCGATGGAAGATGTGTTGATCTGCACACTATATTGGCACGCTTACCAGCTATAGTGGATCGTATGCGGTGAGTAGAACTGATCGGGTTACATGCAGGAGCACATGTATGGCAGCCTGTTTTGGTTGACTACAATATACACGACATGGAATCCAGTTTGATATTCCGAACCTCGAGCTGGGCAAGTACGCCTCATTGGAAGTGCCACAAAATCGCTTACATAGAAAATGTGTGGGATTCATGCTGATGATTCAAAGTCCACTTTACAGTATGCAAGTCAGTTCAATGCGCTTCTGTACTGACCAGTTCAGAGTCCCTGGAATCTGTGTCTATAGTTCGTATCAAAACTCCGTATGACAATGCGAGCTTTGTGACGTACATATTGCGCTTTCGATAAGTATCATGTCCTGATACTGAGGCGTTTTCCTGGTAATTTGGGGTTCGAATTATCAGGATTACACCTATGCTAGTACTGTACAATGTATTCAATCCCACATTTTTCTGTGTGTTTTGTCGTGTTATGAAGTGAAGATGTGACGATACTGCTATGAAGGAAGATGTGGAAGTGGTGGATCAGAAAGTCTTCAAGGATCTGACTGTTTGCCAAGAGCAATCTAGAGGCAGGTACATTCAGGTCAGTGCACACCATGTAGAACGGCATTTACTGTTGTATGCAGGCTTTCAACAACATGTTGGCAGAAATTGATTACTGGCCTCCTGTAGGATGCTCTCCGTTGTGACTTCTGAAGTTCCATGCAAATCAAACAGCCATGGCTCGTACAAACAGATAAAATTCCGTGAGATGTCAACAAGACTCTAACACAGGCCTGACCTGCAGACTAATTACCAATGTAACCCTCCTCCCGGCCTAGTCTCTCAATATCTTTTCTGAAGAAGACATTCATTGTCGAAACGTCCAATATATCAGAGTATCTGTTAGAGTCAAGTCATGTTCATGTTGTGTGCTTCTGCTACATCCAGTTTATTTCCTGACAGATGAGCCATTGCGTCTCTATCGTGGTGAAATTGCAGAATGTAATCCATTTTCTACTCTTCTGATGTTTCTTGCTGTTACCCGTATGCACAGGCAACTGCTGCCATTCCAGCTGGGACAGTTCTGTGGCGTGAGAAGGCACTTGTGACCGACATCAACCCTGAAACAAGTGGGGCACTGTGTCACAACTGTGCCAGGAGAGTCGTCGCAGTTGTACCGTGAGTGCATATTTGACCTTGTGCGGTTGTCCGCCCTGTGCCCTGTTCCATGGAGTGGGGATGGGGGGATGCTTACGATTTCTTGCTATTGTTCGTTATAAGGTTGACGAATGCAATGTCCTTGTAATGCTGGCTTTGGTACTGTTACAATGTGAGCTTCACCTACCTTGGCGCATGTAGCATGGCGGGCTGAATTGGTTTGTTTGCTTTCTGCACATAGGAATGTACATGTATGTGAAAGGAGACAATGCGATATTCTGTTTGATCTGGAGTTGTACAAATTGAAATTTCGAATTTTTATTTTTTATTCTAGTTTGAACTCGGATGGTGAGCCAATATAGTTAGGATGAAGAAAGGAAAAGGACAAAATGTTACGAGTTATGACAAACTGTCCACCAACGTAACCAGGTCTTATACAGTCAGCAAGTGCGACAAAATGGCACAAAACTGACAAGGAGTACTGAGACTTTCGGCGACCTGACACCTAGCTCCAACTCTTCTCCAAGGCGCAAACCAACAACCTTCCAACTTGGAAGGCTCAGGTTCGGAAAGGTCCAAGAGGGGAAGGAAAGCGCAACTCAGTACTCCTTGTCAGTTTTGTGCCATTTTGTCGCACTTGCTGACTGTATAAGACCTGGTTACGTTGGTGGACAGTTTGTCATAACTCGTAACATTTTGTCCTTTTCCTTTTATTCTAGTCATACTATATATAACCAAAGAAACTGAAGTTAAGTACTGTAAATAGAAAGGTGTTAGAAATGACATCAAGATACAAGTGCAATAAAACCACTAGAGGAAACGCAAAAAGGTAACAATTCTTGTTACCTTTTTGCGTTTCCTCTAGTGGTTTTATTGCACTTGTATCTTGATGTTATTTCTAACATAATATACAGTCAGACCTCGCTTATCCGGTCCTCTTTTATCCGGATCCCTCGCCATCCGGAAGAACATATCTGGTTACATATTTACAGCATACTAGTGGCATCCAACATAAACGGTGTTCGGTTATCCGGTTCCCTCGCCTATCCGGATATCTTTGTGAAAAACAGATGTGTACGGTTATGCGAGGTCTGACTGTATATATT